CTTCTTTCTTAATTAACATAATAAAGTGATCTACACTATCAATAATCTTGTCAATAATTTCTGCTGGTCTTATTTTGTCCGTAAGTTTCAGAAAACTGTTTTTTTTTTTGGTTTATTCTAAATATAATTGCGAATTTTGAATTTTTCAGAGTAAAATATGTAAGTCCCACAATTTTCAATAAACTGTCGAATAAAATATTACCTGATTAATATCCAAAATGCAGACGATGGCATTCTCTTCTAATGCAATTTTCTGCGCCAATCCTTTACCAATTCCCGATGCACCACCAGTGATGGCAACCACCCAGAACAAAATGAATTATTTCTATGATTGACTGCACAATTTTCTTTAAGCTAATAAAGTATTCATGAGTACTTGTTTTTCCATTATGATTTAGAAATTATACTCATTTTTGCAAGAAATTAAATTAGGTCAAAGTAATGCATTGCGAATATTGTTATTATAAATTGACACGAGTCTAATTAGATCTGGCTATAGCTCATAACTATTAATTCATTATTTCATAACCTATTGACGCTGATTTGTATTATACGAATACTCAGGAAGTTAGGCCATATCTTCATTACTGCACTGAAGAAATGTTCAGAATATCCTCAAAGTTTTCAGCAATAGCTAAAACTAAAACCTGATTGGTTATTGATTTCCTTCTCATTGTAATCATTCGAGGCAAATCTCGAAACAATATACATAGAATATATTGTAAGGCAAACTTCAAAATAATCAATATTTGTTGATGAAGTTTCTCACAAGCCATATTATCTGAAACAATGTAAGCCGTAATCTATAGAATAAGATCATACCAAAGTTTTTTTTCTGAAACTATCATTTGAAAAACACATCCAAACAGGAATGCTACATTTTTTATCACATCTGCAACTTTCAATAGAAACTTGAAATTGGTCTTGGACTTCAACGCTAACTCTAGATACTGCTTTTCCTGCAAAGTTTAAGTTTTATATGAAATTTAAATAATTCAACCTGAGTGTAACTGCTCGTTTATTATTAGTTCAAGTATTACTAGTTGTCATACTAAAGTTACCACCGTTATCATTAATGTTGAAATTGTATTTATTCATTCATCTACTCATATAGTGACGAATTTAATGTAAATTTCTTTTTGAATTTCAAAAATTGTTCCCAGATATCCTCAACCTTTAACATAAACAACTGTTTGAAAGGGAAATATTCCTAAGTGAATTCATTTAGCGCTGACTATTCGTTCTGGTTGGTTTACTTCTTTAACCAACGCGTTTTTTAATTAACTTTAAAAGCATTTAAATAAGATATTCTGTCCAAATATGCTGGAATATTCGCAATAATCTCAGCCCAATGGAAAATTTCACATTTAAACTAGCATAGTTTCTAATAAACGACAACGAAGAGAAAAAGTATAAGGAAGAAGCACCAGTCACTGGTTGTCTCTGGCAGAAAATTCATACAGACTGTCAAATCATTTATAAAAAAGTCTCTATTGTCGTGCGTTTAAAATAATTATCATTCAATACATTAAAACCACAAACTCCACATTACTGATCGATGCACTGTTTCCCCTTCTTGCATCCTGCGTCTTGAAATCTGAAAATCCTGCCCTTTTCAAATATTTGCTTCGCTAATTCGGTAAAAGAAAACAAGTACAATGTTATTTCCATTTTTGATCTTTTCAATTCTACTACTCATCTCATCAAAATGTAATGAAAAAATAGTTTCTGTATTTTTTCTTAAAAAGCAACAGCTTTTTAAAATTCTAAGCAAACCGGTTCCATTTATTATAGTATCAAATTCCGGCCAACACTTACTGTAATGTGATTATATTTGTTTGGATAATTGCATCCCATTATTTTATGTTTGTATGCATTTATTTCAGCTTAAAATTTTTAGATATTCGTAAATCCTTTGCCGATTACCTAGGAAATTTCACAAAAAATTGAATACTTATGAGCTGAAATTAAATTTCAAAATGATCTAATTAGAAGAAGGAAAAATTTTAAGTGTCTGATTCATTTATGTACTTTTCAATGCTGCCAAATAACAAAAACCATTCATTCCAAGTCTGAAAAACTAATGCATCGAAGATGAAATTTTGCTTCGAAGGAGTACTTTTAATGATACTATAGAAAATTGAACTTGCTAACAGAGCCAGAGATAAGAGGTAGTTGTGGATAAATTCATTTGTCCAAAATTAAGCAGCTGCTAGATAGCACAAAATATCACTCCCAGCATAACCAAGAAGTTAACAAAACTATCATAAAGCAACAAAATTCAGCGTTACCTCTTTCGATGATAACAAACGGAATGACACTTGTCGTCCGTCATGTTTCCCCTCATTTTACCCGGCTTCTGGGAACTCAAGGTCAACTTTTGTTATCGATTTTATTGGATAATATTTAGGCATCATTTTCGATCGCAACACTGCAGCACTGAATGAGTTCGTTATAATAAATAAATAAGTTCCTCACGGCAAAAAAGATTGATTGCAGCTCAAGGACAGTTCAGATTGAGTCGAATGCGTAGAACATTTCCCAATTAAATTAAATTTAATTAACATCTCCAATTAAATTTAAAACCAGAAGTAGACCAATTAACACAAGAAAACAGATTAATTAAAATTAAGAAAATCAAGCTCAATTAACTTTAATTTGTTTAAATTTACTCGCTCCGGAGATCTGGTAAATTTCTACTTCAGAATAGAGATACTTCATCTTTCAGATATCAGATATCATTTCCTTCTTGTATGGAGCAGAAAAATTTATAGCTCCTTTGTAACTAACAAATACCACACTCACAAACAAACTAACTGTTCGATGCTCAAAGGAATTCAGCCACAGGAGGTTTCCTCTCAATTAAACATGAAGTTTCGGATCCCTTCCGTTAATACGAGTTCCCATCCATTTCCATACTTCACTTATTGTGTTACTAAGACTTCGGTTGGAGTTTCTAAAACATATTCATGTATTAATCAATGTGTTCCGGATCGAGAACTGACAGTCACTACTAAAACTAACGTAAGATAACTATAACAGCAATTTTCATGTGGCAGTTGTTGGATATTCTACTTATTATTGCGAGGAGAAAAGTGAAACGCACGTGCAACGCCCAAATATAAGTGAGGATGAGCATATCAGAATCCAGAACCAATACCAAATTAAACATTAACGACAGATCGAACAAATACGTTATTAAAATGTCAAAGTTGATTTGTTCATTTTTCACTTCCCCTTTTTATGAAGCGCAACATCGGAAAGCAAGTTCTTATTTTTTAAAACAAAAATTGTAAAGTCCAGATGACATAAACACATATGCATTTTACAAGTTACATGATTTAAAACACGTCAAATGAAATCTGCATGAAACAAGCCATGGAAAAAGCAAAAATGTAGTAGCTAAGAACTCTTTAAATATGCTCCAACAAACTTCAGCTAGAAATGAAGGCCTGATAACAAGTGATGCAACTTAAATGCTTAATTGCACTCTAGAAATCAAAAAACAAGGAAACACTCTCACCCCGTAATGAATAAACGACCATTCAATAGGTTACATGATGATGAAATAATCTGAATACAGATCTAATGAAACAATTCGTGGAAGATGGAAAAATGTAATAGTCATCAACTCTCCAAAACAAGTCTCAAAGCATGTTTTTAACCTTAACAAAGAACTAGCGCAAAACCATGCAGAGAGATTTTTATAAGATATTAGTTCTGAATATATTAAATGCTGTAATTGACTGTTTTAAAATGAATTTCCATAGAATTTATTTCATACAAACATCTTTTTAAATTAAAATCTTACTTGTCATTCTACTATCTCAAATGAACAGAATTAAAAAGTGGAATAAACATAACTTTTGATTTCAACTTATTTGTCATAAAAGATATTTTTAAAATATTGATCACTTTGCTAACTGTTCCATCCATAGCTACAAAATAAAAAGAATCGTCCCTAACACATTTAAACATGAAATGAAATTGAGGACAACATACATCCCACAGCAATGTGCAAATCAGCAATAGTGCTGACGGAACGAAATGATTAGACGGCAAAAGAGGCATATTCTTAAAATACTGAAACAGAAAATGCATTTATAACTGAAAAAGATTCTAAATATATCTCAATGTACCAATCGCCTACACTTACAGATCATATAGCGTTCTAATTTCAAGGCATAGTTTTAAAAAGACACCAAAGAAGTGAAAGGGTATTTAGAGAGATTTATGAGGCAAGCAAATTATCTTCCTCCTCTCGACTAAATTTTTCTGACATTTCTTGGAAGCGACGCTAAACATAAGGAAAAGCGAAGCAGAGAAAATTGGAAGAGATAGATGGAGTGAGCAATATTATCAAACGCGGCAAAACGTAAACTGAAGGCGGTAACCTGGCTAGACTTGGTGAAAATCGAGACCTATAAACGATAGAATGATAGAAAGTTAACTTGCATGTGTCTCCAGGAAAGTTTTCATGGTGTTTTATCAAGGAATTAATATAAACGATAGGATGATTTGTTAGCAGAAATGTGTGATGAATATGAAGACAATTTCTTGATAAATGATGATGATTTGTTAGCAAAAATGTGTGATGAAGATGAAGACAATCTCTTGATTAATGATACTAAATTTCATTATATGAACGCGCTGGGAACATTAAAAAGATGAGCATATCCAATACAATGAAACAAAAGGAGTGCATTAATAATGCAGTTGGTTACATAGGGCACAGACGTAACGTTGAAAGTGGTCTTAAAGACCTAGGTATATTTACTGTGTGGAAACCATAAAAGGATCTCTATTCAGCAATTTTCCAGATTTTAAAAGTCACACAAAAGATATGTAAGATGGCGCTAAAAAACCTGCTTTGGATCGTATAATTGTTTCTAAAAATTTCAGCAAATAGCTAATTGAATACCGCTACTAATAGCAGTGATATTACGTTAACTTAAAATTTTAAAGCGAGACGTATAAGAAGGAAGAAGGTACGCAACATTTCATCTATTACTACTTTTATCCACAGTGAACACAAGACCTTCGTCTGATAAATTGTCAATTTCTTTTATTTCTTTTTTCGAACTCATTGAAGCATTGTCGATCTGTTTGTCAAGTAAATCCACATCCACGTCTTCCATTTCTTCCTCCGGAAAAAACAAATATGAAACAGCTACATAATCTACAAGCGCGCCATGTAAAAACGATAATCCAAAATGTACAGTGTTAACGGTACTTAAGCATCAACATTTTATTTAAGTGCACGTGCCACTGTGATAACTTTTCATTAGATTTTACTACTGGATGACTATTCTCGCTTTTAAATATCAAGCGAACTCCATTTTATAAAAACAAACTTGAGCTTTCCTCCAGATATGAAGCTGAGTTAGCTTTTCAGTCAAACATTTGGTAAAGTACTGTGAATGTGCTGGTGAAATCTCCTCAAGAAGTTGCCTAGCATTGTCATAATATTTCGCGTGCAACTCAACCTGCAAAAGGAAAGCAATCTTAACAGCTGCTAGATGTTTGACTGAATATTTGATAGCGTGTCTAGAGAATTTCAGACACTTGCATAAATGGAAAATTACAAAACAGAAGACAGGGATGCTCTCTGAAAAACAAATAATTCAGGGTAAATAGTTTGAAATACCAATAAATTAACACAATACCCGTTTATAATCTCCATTCATGCTGTCACACTGCAACGATGCAATTCGCCATCCTTTCATTGTTAATTCTAACGTATAAGGGTGACCTGTTTATAGTTTAGTAATGAGTTCAGAAATAAAGGAAATGAACTTTATGAATTTCCACTTTCACATTGATAACAACTTGAAAAATAATACACTGACAAAATTAATTGTCCAATGTGATGAGGAAAAAGAAACAATCAATATAAACACGTCCCACTTTGTATGTCATGATTCCTCTAGCAGTTACTTTATTCGCCTCTGTCAATAAAAAAACTTCAGATTGTCCTAATATATCCAGAGATTGGCTATCTTAAAAACTCATACCGCAGAATTCCCCATCCAACGGAACCCTAATCACCGGAGTAAAATATCAAAAAAGCAAAAAGAAATTTCTTTTGCGTAAGACTCTCAAAACTGCAAATAAATTTCGAAAGAAATTCTAACCCTCAACAGTTATGATATTTACGAAAATTAAATCGGCTGTTCGTGGCAAGATTTCTGAGACAGCAATTGAGCGAACTTCACTAGAGAGTTCGTGTACAGCAGCTATAGCTTCTAATTCTAAAGGGCCACCAACACTTTGCTCGTTTAGTGTACCACCAGTTTCAGCATGACGTTTGCGATTAGCACGACCTATTTCAACGACAGAAAGTGGTGTTCTGAAAAGAATGCAAGTGTGCACATTTTAAAATTGCAATACATCTATATGAAAGGAATATATTTCGAGTATTTAGTGACTTTTTTCCAACTTCAAACTTCCCGGAAACTTGAAAGTGTTAGTTGGGCAAAAATATTCGGAAGTAGAGAGAGAAATATTCAAGATAGAACAAGCATACCGCCCGACAAACAAATATGAAATAATAGCTTCATGTATCCGGTATCTGGATGTGAAGCATAATCCATGGATGCAGTGGGAAATAAATCCAAATACATTCTAGCACCAAACAATTTCTTTGGTAGTACGGACGAAACAAAAACAAGGTCTTTGAAAAGCGAACTTACGAGGATTAATTCACAATTCATACCCGAAAGTGTTGTGAACAGTGGAAAGATGATCAGATATTAATGCTGGAGTCAAACTTGGTGGGTACATAAATGCTTCGTGAAATCCATCCGCTGCTGGGCTGTGAGCACGGCTATGAGTCCGGCTGCTTTGATAGCTTTGATAAATGTGTGCTGCGCTCTGCCAACGAGCCAAACTAAAAAAACAAATGACTAGTAATTATGAAAATGTGCAGCAACAACTTCAAAAATACATATTCCACAATTATACACGTATTAAAATTATAACACACAGACATACCTTTATTTCACCTTAACACCAAATAGAAAATTCCGCATAATAATTATAATCCTCTTGGTTTTCGAATTAATGTTTTGTTAAATATTTCGAAAACAGTGGAAGCTTTAAAAAAATTTTAAGGAAAAATGACGCAAAATTTCCATCAGATCTCTGGTAATGCACTGAAAATTTTCTAAATCATGCCTATGCACCGAAAAGAAACTAGTTTCATGTTTACATCATGCAAATTGATGATGGACAAAGGGCAAAGTTAAGAGGGAAAATCAGATAATAAGAGAGCACGGGAACACCAGTAATCTCGATGATAACGTCCTTTTTAAAAATGAATGAAAACTCGAAGATTACTTCATCCTAACTCTCAAGTATGAACGAATTTTCTACTAGATAAGACAAAGAAAGCTTACTTTTGTTGGCGATAAAGCGGAGAAACTCCAAGGGAATTGGCTAAGCAGTTTACGGTGGGTGTACTTATAGGATGAACTCCATGAAACGAGAGTGCTGATGACACACCTTTACAACTTGGCGATGATGGAGGGGTAAATGGTGGCGAATGAGCCATCACTTTCTATTCCTAAAAACATGTACCAATCTAGATCAATTCAATTTGAAGAGCATCGCGAATGCATACGCAACCAATTCTCCATGAAAGCATTGAAAGCTAGATCACTACTAAAGATATGAAACCTTGCGGTAAAAAAGGTCTCTGTGCTGTATCACGGTGTGACAGTTAGATTAAGTTCGTGAAGTTTCGAAAAAAGTTTAGGTTAGGGATCCCATAATAAGCTAGTCAAGCCACTTGAGTAGGATAGTTCAAGAGTTTTTTTCTATATGAGACCTTATCACGTGGCCTATTCGTGAATTTAGCGTTTATATCTGAAATGAACTGACAATTCTAATAATGACCGTGTGAGATAGTCTGGCATATGCTTAGTAGATACTGTAGAAATCCTATAGATCAAATGTGAAATTCTAGCTTAAAAACCTTCTTTATCAATAGACAATAAGCAATAACCAACAATAACTGACTTTCATAACAATCTAAACAACTCACCTGCTTCCTACTTCCTGCTTAATAGAGAGCTTAATCGTTATGAAACTTCGCAATCTCAAGCGCCCAATGGGTGTATAAGCACGACTCACACGAACTCCTAAACCAACGCATTTCATCAGTCCACTACGAATCCTGAGAAATCTCACAGGGCTGAAAAAATCTGTTCCCAAGATAGAGATGGTGCTCATATTTCCGAAGTTGCTAGCATAGAGAGGAATTGCTTCAACACTTTGCTTACATAAAGGACCGCCAACATGGTAAAGGCTAAAAGGAAAAGTATTTTGGAGACGGATGTGATGCCAAAAAATTTGTTTCTTGATGTTTTTCAAATTCCTAACTTCTTTGTTCATGCTGCAAACGATATTGTTCAGGTATGATTATATTAAATTTGCAGCTTAAATTTTTGCCTTGCCATTGCATGAGGGCCACTTGTTACTGTATCTCAACTGGATCCGTCCTTTTAAAATGACATCCGCTATCGTTTAATGAAAGTTTGTTGGTATTCTAAATCTTATTACATATTTTATTGCATTTTAGAACATTAAAGATAGCAGTAAGAGTTACCTATAATAAACTTTTTCCATTGTGAATCATTTATTTTTCAAGCTTTTCTATGTCTATTAAGATTATTACAATTACATTTACAATTCAAAAAATCACGTAATTGAAAGAAAAAAAAATAACACATATGCGGAAAACTGAGCAAACAATGCACTGATCGTGTTTGAAAATATGACGAAGTAATCAATGAACAAAATCATTGACATTTTTCAATTTCTTTAAGCTTCTTTTCATAAGTTTGACAAAATCATACGGTTGTACCATGACAGTGAAAACAGACAAAGGTAAAGTGTCGATTTGCTTGAAAACTTCATCATCTTCTGAAAATATATTCAAAGCATGCTTGTCCACACAAGTGATGCAAGCAGGAGTAGTGCCTGTTCGTGTAACTGCCGGAACTGAGGCCCGAATACCAGCTTTCCATGCTGGTGATCCTTCAAGCACGTCAGCCAGCTGAAATAAGCTCCAGAGATATGACAAAATTCCTGATGACTAAACTAATAAAGGTAGTTCGGATCTCTATTTAAAAATAGTATGTATTACTTTGATTCTATGTTTATCCAAAATTAAGCCCGTATCAAATTTTTGCTTCGTTTTCTGCAGTATATAAATTGTCCCATGAGGCACTCGCTGGATGGCAATATTTACCTGAAATAAAATATCAATCATGTCTGTCAAATCTGTCAAAAATTTCCGGGCAAAAAGCAAGGTTTTATACGACTTGCTTGAAATAAAATAAGTGGGATCTTCTGATGGTTGTCTTTTTCTGCCGGCACAAACATGATTGCTTTAAGCATGGCTCACGCTACGAGAATGATTCTAGTAATCAAAAATAAGAAATACTGTGATTTACAACAGTACCGATAACCCCGTTTTTGTAGTACTGAAAATGAATGGAATTTGTTGCGTATTATATATATCAACATCAGCAATTCGTACAAGTTGGTCACCAACAAACAATTGGCCGGCGAGATACTTCTCAGCTATTGAAGTCCAACCTGCTACCCTTAAAAAAAAATGTGCACAATTACTTAAAATTATACCAATACAGGGAGAAACCTGAAAAACAGCATGGAAGTCAAAAATGTGAACTAAAATTTCTGCCTAACCTTGCTGAGGATAAACCAAAGCAACATAATAGCATAACAATACACTAGAGATTAATGAACATATAATCTATATCAAAGAACATCTTTAAAAATCAATTCAGAGCAAGAGGATATCGTAACACTGACCATACTTTCCCACCGAAATCCACGTAAGCAATGTGCTGCACGCATATAAAAGGTTGCACTGTTAAATTTTTCAAACCATTTGAAATACCACTATTATCGATTTGTGAATGGTTATGATTCTCAGCTAACATTCGATTACTGTTTCTTTCACTAGCTGAATGGGTTTTTTGCAATGCAATGTTTAAAACTGGCGAAATCCGATTAATCATTCCAGAAGATGCCTCATAATCCAGTGAAAATGAATCATTTCCAGTAATACGACGTGAGTGAGCTATACTGACATTCAAGGTTCCAGCTGGGACAGAATAACCACGCTTCATCGATTCGGAACACAAGCTTACTGGTGCTACTATTTCAGTATCTAACGATGTCGCTCCCTCCAAAGTACTGTAAATACATTGATCTTGAATTTCCTCATACTTTCATATAATTTATATCAATTTTTTTTACATCTCAAAGCAGTGATTTTTTTGTATATTTTGGTATATGAAGATACCGGAACTCAGTTTTATTCAACTTGATGCTTTCAATCATCAAAAGTAAGCGAAGTTCTTGCATATAGCAACTATATGCAAAGAAAATGAATATTCCCCATGTTTAATTTTGTGGAGCAAACGCTCATTACAGAAAAACCTGACAACTGCAAAAAGACCATAAAGCTACTGGCATTACAACGCAAGAAGAAGAAATTAAGATTGATTGCATAAATTATAAACCTATATACAGAATTTTCCGGATTTGTTGAAATGTCTCCTGGCAGTCCTTCCACAGTCGATAAATCCCCAAACGATGTGGATGCATGATTCTTTGGATGATCATATATTGAACACCGCTGTAAAACTTATAGTCTTCGAGCATTTTGTTCACGAAAACTGATGGATGAAGGTATTCATCTAACAAGTATAAAACAATTTAATGCAATTTGAAATTTTTACACGAAAGTGTACTTTGGGTAAAAAAATTGAAGGAACTTCTAAAATCAGCGAACCATTTTTCAGTGCGAAATAGGGAAGTTGATTTAAGACTCGAAGAAAGCTACATAAAGACTAACTTTTGTACCAATTTTGGGAGCAAGAGCTTGTGAGGATGAAATATTACGAGGCGGAAGGGGAGGTGGGTTTTTCACCACACCATGATTCTTCACTTTTTTCTCTTCAATGCTCAGTGTACGAGGAAGAAATGGTTTCCCAGATAACTGCATTGGCAATGATGGAAATCTACTGCGCTCGTATTCAGAGTTCCTTGGAGTAGAAACTGGTAGTGACGGCGCCAGTCCTTCGGGCACCTTAAAACTTATCACAATTGATTTCGAGTCACAGAATCTGCTTTCAATTTCTACTGCTAAAACAACAAATAACTATCAAGCATCAAAAATGAATCCTAGCCTCAATTCATACCGAGATTTATGATATCCTGTAGATACAATCCGATTTAAGAATGTTCTGGAAGGCGATTCGCGTCAATAAACTCACACTGATCTATATTTTGGATTAAAACACAAAGCAAAACGTTCTTCGTTTATTTGGGTCATCGGAAAAAATCAAGCTAACGCTGATGAAAGCATTTTCCTTTCCATTTATCTCGAAACCTATTACACATTAGTATGTTAAATTCCAGTCTCTATAAAGCATACCTCATCAAGACTTGCATCTTCATAAATAAATTGTTCAGTAGTTCTAGATGGCTCGGATGTAAAATCAGGTGCTGAAATATAGAAATTTGCAGATTCCACCAAACATTTTAATCGTACGAGAGCGGAAGTTGTTGACCGAATCCAGTCATCACAATCTTCTCTGGAAATGTCGCTGACAGTGAAGAATTTAAACAAACTCGATCTTTATTTCTACGTTTTCCAGGGCCCAGAAATATGCTAGCTAGAAACGCGAACGATACTCGATACTTCGGAAAGACCGAAAAATTCAGATTTAACGTCTGCTTATTAAGCTTATATCTAAAAGCAATAAGGTGTAAACTAAGCCTTGTCATATTACCTGAAACAGAAAATAACCCTTCAATAATTAATACAAATCTTCTTTATACAGAAAAGAGTATCACATTGTTAAAGCAGAAAGCTCAATGGCATCACGTGAACGGTCCATGAAACCAATCATGAAACTGCGTCTGGATGGATCACTCATAATGACCCTTACAAAAGACGAATCCAACAAATCGATTACTTTCGAAGGCCTAAAATTATTTATTTTATAAAAATCCGAAGCAAGCATAAGGATAAGAAATCTTTAGATCGAATGTCGGGATAAGAAATCTTTAGATCGAATGTCGGGATAAGAAATCTTTAGATCGAATGTCGGGATAAGAAATTGGAGTAAAACTTTGCGTGTAAAAATTTCGTTTGTAACTGCAGAATCAAAAATCTAATTGAAAAAAGTTCTAATTGAATTCTCGACATCAAAATACCTGTGTCCATGCACATACTCTTCTGAAAAGTACCATTCCAGAAGTGGTATGCGACCATTGTGAACGCATAATACGACCCATTTCCCTTCTTCATATAGAATTTTCTACAACAAATAAAGGCAATAGATAAAATAATGCAGCAAAGATCCTTTCTAAAAGTGAAGGATATTAAATTAAAACTTACCTTTTTGCGATGTAAAGTACCACCTCTTTTATGTACTATATGCTGTAGCCAGCTTGCTTTTACGATCTCACGTTGTTCATTCATTCATTTGTTCCCAGTTGCCAAATCTGAAAATTTTCATATCAACAAGTGGAAGTTGACTCGATATGCAACGATCGAACAACGAATGAAGAGGACAAGTTCGAATTAATCCTGAGTAGGTCAACTAAAGATCTCATCACATAATACCAACACATATCTCACAGTCACTTTAAATGTTTTGTTAGGTCCTTTTTTAAGAAATTAAAAATTTTATCAGCCCTTGACCAAAAGTCACAGATATTAAAATTTGAAATAAACCTTTAATTTCAGACTAATTCTGTGAAAAGATGCCGACAGTATTATTGTTGACGACAAATATCGATAATTTGAAAAAATTCTCATAAAAGGGCATGAAGACTTACACTGTCACTATATATCAGGAGAGACATCATCGATTGAACAATACTGATGATTCAAACAAACAATACGAACTCTAGAACATCTTGTTTTACTTTACTCGTTTCTTAGCCAACTTCATGAATTAAATGTTCACACTGAGTGAAGAGTATTCGAAAATTTGAATTTCTTCCGTCGCGACCAGACCATAATAACAATCAATGTCACTTTATTACGCTTGTTTTCCTTTTACAAATTAGTTGTACATGTATTCATTGTTTAGTAAGCGAAAGTTAATAATTAGTTTCCAAAGTTCTCACGTCAATTTAACCAGTTAAGTTAACCTGGAGGGCAATTTCAGCTAAATTCACAGATCCACTCGATAACCATCAACCTAATTTTATGAAAAAACTTGGATGTTCTCCAAGCTCGACAACGATAATTTGAAAAGTTTGATGCAGACTCTCATTTAAAACCTTATCTGTAGTCTTTAATTGAGCTCTCTTGCTAACAACTTCAGTGAAAACTATTCAGCGCCGTAGGTTAGGTCCTAGTATTACGAACCACTCAACTTCACTTGCGATGAAAATGAAGTGCTCTAGGAAACAGTGAAGAACCTTTTTACAATAATTTTGTAAACCGGTGAACACAACTCCCATGTGCTTTATTTCCTCGCAAAAGAAAATGCTAATAATTCGTAACCGCATGTTGCGTCTCTGTCTTCAGTGAGCTGACAAAATTCCTGCGAAGCGTCATTCACTTAACACAACCTTTCCCCTTCCGCGTTCATGCCAACCCACTATTCCACTATTTTCTCCCAATATTTATAATTGGATAATTAGCTCTCCGGATTATCGAACTAATGACTTCATCAATGTTCTACTTAAAATTTAAATTTACATCAATTTCCCCGAATTCATACAATAACGGCTATTTTTTTAGGTTAAACCCTGTTGATTAAATATCTAATTCAAACTTTTTTCCTGTCATAAGCAACAGGGAACGTATTCCATGGGACAAGTTCGTTACCCACCTCCTCGAATATAACCAACAGACCTTGCACCAACCAGTGGTATCCACAGGAAAGACGACTGCCTTGTTGATCGTCCTATTCCCCTTTACCTCCACCCCTTCGCCTCATTAGATTTACATGGTTTTAAAAGCGACGACTGTATTACAATAACACAGGGAGTATCGAATTGAAAGTCCGAAGATCTCTGCGGTCTCAGTGAACGTTATCAGTAACTACTTATCAGACAACCGTACACTTTCTGTTGCATCATATAAAGGTCTGTTTCAAATTAATCCATTCAGTAGAGTGCACATTTCGCACCACAGCATGTTCATCATTCTATTCTCAAACTTCCTCTTTGTATCCATTTTTACACTAATTCTCTATGCTGCACTTTTGCACAAACTCTTCCTAAAAATTCTGATCTATTTTAAGAACATTATGATGTAGTACTATGTCTTCTTCCTGGAATGGAATATCACACATAAACCCAGAAGCACTCAGGTTAACGTTAACTGCAAAAGCGCCCCAAAGATCGGCTATCGATGTCGTCTGATCCAACGGCATGCTGAGAACAAAGGTCTTTATTGCATTAGCCACAATCGCTCAATGATCCTTGATTTCATTATATCGTCCGAATCGGAATATGATATTTGGTTACGAAACAGCGCTTTTAATATGTTACGTAGAAGATGAGTTGTAGCAATGGTGAAACCACCGACCATTTTGCGGCCGATATTTAATAAAATGTTAACAAACAAGCAACAAATAAGGTAATTTAAGACAGAACAACATTGGAATAGCCATGCTCGATATGATTACAATGACGACTGACGAAAAACGAAGTGTTTAGAGACACCTACCAGACCATCCCAAGATACATTGATATGTGGACACGAAGTCATCCACAGATGCCGAATCTCGAATGAACTTATCAGGCCGCCTGCTCCCGGACCCGCTGGATCCTAATGAAAAGCTGCATCTCATGACGGATTGAATGGCAGCACTGCGTATGAGGACTCTTAGTCGTCACGTACTTCTATGGTCGAGAAAGTGATTATTTTTTGCCAAATTTGTGCTGCACTAAGTGGAAGTAACCGTCTGAATACTGAAAACCCTCATGCAGGCCCTGTTCATTTGGCATTAGAATATTATTTCCAACTCCCTTAAGCCTGAAGAGAAATTTCACAGCACTCTTCTATCTTTTTTCTTTTTTTCTTTGTTTCGCTTTTTGACTGTCGTTTCGCAGCCGTCTTCTCAGTCCATCATAATTTCCTTCAATTGTAGTATGCAAATTTGAATAGTCATAATTCCACTCAGTTTCTAAAAATTAACTTTTCAACCCCCCTCCCTCCTCTCTCTAATAATGTCACAGTTTTCTTACTCATTATCCACTACAATATATACTTTCAAGTGGGATCAGTCTTAAACTCAACAGCGAATTCTTTCAATTCTTATGCCACATTTGAAAAAAAAAGTTTTGCACAATGGTTAATGACGAATTCGAGATTGGTATGAATGTCGAGCAACTGATTTGGAATATTCGCTTGCTATTCTCATTTGTACTTTAAACGTCCTTATTGAGTGGAGATTACTCTTTTCCTGCGTGTTGATTTTCCTGTTCTTATATTTCAGAATTTTTATATTCCATGAACGGAATTGAGAAGTAAGAGAAAGATGGAGAAGATGCGGGAGGGCTTACAGCGACGAGCTCGTCGTATGCAAGAAAATTTGCAGCAGTCTGTAGGATTGTATGTTATCTTCTGTATTTCTGTACGAAACACAAATTGTTATTACAAATATTGTTTGCAACCGCTGAGGAGAATTGGTAGATGATTGGAGGTGTCAAAGTTTCATTTTTTAATTAGGGGGCGCCAACAATGAGTATGGGACTCGGAAGAATATTCTATCTTTCCCCGCAAATGAAAAAAGTCTGAATAATCAAAAATTTTGTTTGGTGCGGCAAAATTTAAAATATTGTCACTGTTTTAGTATCTTTGTTGAAAAAGTTCTTTTCAGGTCTGAGAAAAAAGACGAGCTGCAGAGTGTAAGTCATGTCGAACAAAGAAACCAAAAAATTATTTTGGCGGTAAAAAACACGCGACAGAATTTACAGAATTGTATAAGAAGCGTCAATAGGGAGGAAGTTATTGATAAGCGGAAGGTATAATGGTTCCTTTTTAGACTTCTTACCTAGCTTTTTGAAATTTTGAGGATGAAAAGTTGTAGATATTCTTGCAGAAAATTGATGTTATCCACCTCGTATTTCTGAATTTTCTTTTGATTTTAGTTCTGCAGCGAAAAAAAGAATAACGAATCCTTTTACCTGAAAAAAAACTTTGAAATCCTTTTGTTTTCTTAGATGTTTTAAAAGGGATCACTTATTAATTGAAAGCTAAAAGTAATGATGTGTTATCAAAGAGTATGGTTAGTGTTTTGTAGAGACGATTAGATGAATTTGGTCTTTGGCAACAGCTACTTACGGATGCGAAAGAATTGGAAAATATTTATCCGCGTTCTCAGCCGTCTGTTCTTGCTGATACACTGAAGCTATATGGCGACGCTGTGGGTGTAATTCTTGAAGAACGGGTCCTGACAGATCAATTAATTGAAAAAAGGTTCTTATATCTATAAGATATAAATTGGTTGCACACACGATGAATGAAAATAATGTCGAGTTACATACAATGTTTTCTTCGTAGAAATTACTTATGTTATAGCGTTCTGGATGCTTTTGGGAAGTATATGGACGATGACAAAGCTCTATCGAAAGCGAAAGAAAAACTAGCGCGTACAGCTGTTGATGTTGAAGTTAGCAGAAAACGTAAGCAAGGAAATCACGATGAGTCAAAGGCACAGGAAATCCAGGATGAATACGATGCCTTACAACTTAAATTAGAATCTTATAAGGTTAATTTTTTATATGAGATACAGGATTTGCTTATTAATGTGTGAAGTGGATTACTGAATAATCGACTAAAATAATTATGCTCTTTTGCAGGACAATATTTTTACGGATATTTTCGTGCTGCTATCAAGGGAAGCTGAAATTGCTGGTATTTATAAAGAATTGATCATTGCACAAATGGAATATTATCGGACAGCCTTGCAGAAACTCGAAAACATCTTACCTGAAATCGACAGGAAAATCGGTAACTTCATATGAAATTAGAAAAGGACGACCTGTTTCGGTATGAATTATCTTCCAGTCAATGGGGTTCTCGCGCTGATTTGAATCTTATCGTGATCACCAACTGCAAATGTTTACCGTGAAATAAATCTATTGTACACCTCAGAAAACTCTGCAGCGGTGACTGTCAGCGATCAGCGAATTTATTTACAGCGCCATGAGTGAGTAATCGGCAGCAGTTTCTCTTGTTTCATATCTCACATTGCGTTATTACTTGGTGTTATTCTCAGAATTCCTCTTTTTTAGCTTCGTATCCTAATCGTCCGGTCTTTGGATGTCATCTAGAAGATCATTTACGTTGCTCTAATCGTTCGGTAGCTTTGGTTCTTGAAGTGTGTTGTTCCATTCTGAAATATCAAGGTTTCCATGAAAAGGTTTCTTAATTCCAAATTTCAATATGAACAATGTGTGTTTTCTTAAGGCCTTTCACTGTGATCCTATTCCACTTAAGAAGTATTCCTGACACATCCTTAATTCAGTGTACGCATGGAATCCGGGCACCTCAGGTATTTTATTTCTAGGGCCTTTTTCGAGTCAGCGGTAACAACAATCGGATCAGGCGCCTCAAAGCAGCATTTGATGCTCATCAAATAAATAATGGTTCACTGGAAATTGCTGAATACATTAACGATCCTCATTCAGTTTGTTCCGTTCTAAAGTCCTATCTTCGTGAACTTCCTGAACCATTAATGACTCATACTCTTCATTCAGAATGGGTTATCATCGCCAAGTAAGTTACTGTTTGTTTTCATGGAGTTATTACAAGATATTGCCAAATTCTTTTTTCTATTCACACAATGATAGGATCCATTAACTTCCATATCCATTTATGAAAATACTTGGCTTCATTTCAATTACAGAACATAATCCATATCACGCAACTAATTTTTGTTTTTATGCCTGTAATAATTTTAAGGAGAGATCCGGATTATCGAAAGGAAGCTATATATCGACTTCTTCCTTTAATGCCAGAAGCAAATCGATACAACCTTGCCTATTTAATCAAATTTTTGCAACTGATATTGGATTATGAGGAATATACGAAGTAATGTCTTCCATATGTATAAGTCATATAGTGCGTTTTAAAATTCCTTTCCTCGTAAGAATGAAGAATTTAAAATTTTGTTACAGGATGGGTGTGGGCAATTTATCGATCGTTTTCGGACCGAATTTGATTGATGCCGGCAATGGTACTGAATCGGAGAATATACTTGGTTCGAAATTGGTGGAAACATTAATAGTCAATGCCAATTTTTTCTTCCCGAACTGTAATCTTTTAAACGAACTTTTTGGCTTTCATACTTATTCGCGTCTATTAATCACCATGATGACTTCTCAGCTGATTGTCTTCTCCCCTTTTTTCCGAATGCAAAAAAAGAATTATCTCTTATCTTGAAACGTGATACACTACCAGTTTTTGCAACGCGGTTACTACTTTGTTAATTACACGCTTTCTAATTTTATGTTTCCCGGTGACAGCTGAGGTGGTTTTTTGCTAATTACTTCCGATGAAAGAACTGTGAAACTTTGGCGTCAGGCGTAATTCCATCTCATACTTTTAGACGATAATGTTAATGTATGAACATGTTTAAAATGTCAGCTATCTTTTATTCGTTCATTAGTCTTTTACTCAGTTTTCGTACATCGTGAAACTTGTATTTATAGATAACTTCAACTATACATCTCCACTGCTTGATTCATTTTTGCAACGAAACTCCGATGTAACGAATAGCTTTGGAAGTGGAGATCATGTGGTTGTACGTGGTACACAAGGGCAACAGCATATCGCTCTTCGTCATACACAAAGCAGCAAGTAAGCTCCCAGTTTGGAATAAGCATTGTCGCTAGGATATGGCTTCCACCGCCTTGTTATTTTTGTTTCTCAGTTCTCTTTTTGCCAATCATAAGTTCAGACCGTTTTTTTGTTTTTTGTTTCATTTGGTATGCTCGAAAGTTAAGAAACTTCCTTTTGACAGCAAAACATAACCTTTTTTAGCAATTCCTGCAAGAATTCAGTGCAGTTGCGCAGCACAACTTCAGTGCTACAACAAACATCGCAGCCGCCATCAGCTTCTTCCACTTTACGAGCTCGTCCTAAATGGCCGGCCCCACCACCACCTGTTATAGGTTATTCAAATTCTAACAACAATAGCAATAACTGCACAACTAATCACTCGAATCTTTTCAATGATGGCGTAGAAGAGATGTCGTCTAGTTTAGAAAATCTGAATAATTTTATTACCAAAAGTCCATCAATTGCATCCAATGATTCGATGGCTGAATATGGTTATACAACGAATGTTGAAATATGCGATAATTTCGCTTTTCAACCACAAATGACCCGTTCCTATCACGAACCAGGCCGGCCATTACGTCCACCGCCGCCACGCAATATGGTGCGACCATCTACACCGGATGGAGAATTTCAAACTTCTGTCACTGAATCGGTGGAGCATTACAGCTCACAAGAGATTCCTAAAATATTGCAACCTGATCTTCTACGAAGCCGAAATTCCACTGAGATTTGTCGTAATGCACCTGATCCAGTTGCTTGTACAAAAGACAATCGTACTGTGGTACATTTGGGTACAGATGCATATCACCAGCATGCTGGATCATTATCGGGAGCTGAAAGTTATAATACATTGCCTAAACCCCCCCTGCCTTATAAACCGAAATCAATAATCGATTTAAACAAACCAAACGAGATCACTAAGCTTTAGTTTTGTTTTATTTTTTATCGTCACTTTGTTCACACTTCCTATATACATACATATGTTGTCGTGAAGTATAGCAAGTAGTTTTTCCTTGGAAACCATCCTACGGTTAAAACTTTGAAACTGTCGAATTCCTTAAGTAATCTCTTTTAACTCTTTTTTAATATATTTTATGGATTTATCTGGTCGACTTCAGTGTTTTTCCATCCGAAGAGTCATGTTCAGAATCTAACAAGCTGAACTGGTTCAACAGTTTGATGTAAGATATATAGAAACGACTTTTGTCTATCACTTCAGTCTTCTAGTTTATTGGATTTTTGCACTAAGCATTATTGTCGTTTATAAGGTTGGTTTGTTATTTATTTACGAGGCAATATTTTGTTTCACACTAGTTTGATAAAGATGTGGTACTTCAGGTTAGAATTTTTCTCCCTCTTTCTTTGATTACAAGATTTTCTGGAATTATTTAGCCATACATATATTCACACAGATTTTGCAATTTTATATGCAGAAATTCCGCGTTGATCCCAAAAGTCTTAAATATGCAGTAATAGTATTAATATCTGTAAGATCTTCTCAGTGAAAAAGTAGTGGTAAAGACAATAGCAAATTTGGTGGTCATCTGTTTGTATTGCTAATATAAATAGCAAGGAATGCTTTTGGCATCTAACCACTACTTCAAGATTTTGATTTTTGGGATGTACAGCCATCTTGTTTAGAGTTCAGAGATCTTGATTCAATTTTGAAACCATCCCATAAATCTCGCCATCGCAAATTTTGATACGAAAACGCTTTCACATTCATTAGAATTATCATTCCGATTCCCCTTCATTTAAAATTTAACCTATTGTTACTTTGTTCATTTGCCACGATAGGATATCATGGAAGCTTGGGGATCACTTTCTTCAGTTTTTTTTCCATTCCGTAAGCAATGCTTTCTTTCTCAATATCGGTATTCGGAGACGTGTATTAGCGCTTTTTAGCATGTGGTAAAATTTGAAACTTCTTTCTTTGCTTGAAATGGTTTGGTCGGTTTATTGTTTATCGACTACCAATTTATGTTGATTTATGTACATTTCCTGCATAACCTCCCGTGTGTGATTGTCTTTTCGAATTTGATCTGTGAGATATTCGCCGATACTTTTTGATTAGTGCACATCAATGCACCTGATGCCATTTTTTCTAATATTTGATTGTTCGATCACTTGAAGTTTTTGAAGGCAGTTGAACTACACTAGTTTAAAGTGATGAGTCGCACTTTTGTCAGAAAAAGATTATCTTTGAGCTGAGAAATCGTACCACCGAGTAAGCCATAACTTCACAAACTGTTTTATCTTTTCTATGAAATATAATCTGTAAACAAAGATTTGCATTACTCATTTTACAAATATTGCTTTGCTATCCTACAATGTCATTCTAAAAAGGCCTATCATTTGTACATGCCCGAACACCAACAGTCTAAACTGGACATTATTGGTGTGTTGAGATTCATGAAAACAGGAAATGCATAAATGGATAATTGTTTAGTAAAAAGACAGGAAAGATACATAAAAAAGGGTAGCCAAGATTCTACATGTTGTCAAATGCTGAATTATTGGTATACAGCACCTAAATTCGTGTAGAAATAACAGGAAATGCATAAATTGTTTAGTGCCAAAAATGGATGTAATCGAAAATTGCTTGGGAAGTGATTAGTGGTCACATCCATTTTCCAAACAATTTTTGAACGAGATATACAGTGATATATGAAACAGCAAAGTCTGTAATTGCAGGATTGAAAAGAAAAAGATGAATGAATAAATTACGAACAGAATCAATCAAAACGTTGCCAACGGTCTCTGGGAACACTGCAATTAAACGGACTTGGTGGTGAAGAAGTAGTTGACGGTAACGGTGCAAGTGGATCGAAATTCAGGAATTGTAGCGAGAGGTGATGTGGAGGAGCATCTACAAGTTTCGCTGCACTTGTAATCTCTGCTTTTCCAACTGAAGTACAGGGTGAGCCATCTGCTCTGTGATTCGATGGTAATGAGTTGTCACTCAAATCGATCAGATCCATTGTCTCGTCAATTGATGACAACGTGGTCTGAAGAAATCATTATAACTTCATCAGGATGGACGATTATTCTATGCTTGGCTTTGTCATGACCGACTAAGGCAATCACCTAAAGCAAGGCAATTAAATGCATCAGCTTTACAAAGAATTCCTATAAAACCATACTACAGTGAAAAAATCATAATAACACTAGAAAAATTTATATATTTGCCTGCAGTGCCCGAATCTTGTCAAATATTAAGTATTTGCCGTTCAGATTTTTCTGAATTTAAAACATTAAAACCATACCTCGCCATCAGGTTCCACCTTTTTTTCGGTCATCCATTGCTGTGTTTCGAATGAAAGCGCTCCATCATCGTAAAAAGGATGTGATTTTCTAGAAGAGACCCGTCGAATTTCTTTTGGGGTCAAACGGCCCAAGCGCTCTTTTAGCTAAACATCCTTTATGATTTCACATTAAAGCTACCACTCTTCAATTTCAAACTGCCGGACTAGATTGAATTCCTTCAGCAAAACTATCAGTAACCCGAATTTTAACAAGGAGTACTGAAAGAAAGCTTTGCTTTGCTTTGCTACAAAAACGAGGAGAGTATGACCTCACCGCAATGTAATGAATTGAAAACAGGCTTACCGCAATGGAATGAACTTTATCTTTCAATAAACCAATTACATCATTAGCATTTTCTCGAACCTAAAAGAGAACTTAATGAGAAGCAATAAAACGGCAGTGAACCATTCTTCCTATATAGACACAACAAATAGAGGAAGTGGAACCTCTGCAGTTTTAAAAAATATTGTAGAATGAATTCATGAGGATTATGACACAGACATCGGTCTATGACCTACATATCCAGGAATTCATTTCCCAAAATGCAAAGAAAACCGTCAGAAATGGAAAGAAAAAAGTGGGAATAACTTTGCAAACGTAGTCTTACATGATCGATCAACATAAACATTTCATTATGTAATTTGTATACCCCTTTGTTTCTCTTGCTTTGAGTTTTAATAAGTCATTTAAGTAGAAATCACACATAAATAGAACACTGTCACAATTACAGCAACCACAACAACAATACTGATAAAAAATCTTACAGAAGTTACTGCGTTTTGAAACATTTCTGGGTGATTCTGTAATAATTTTATAACTTTAACTTAGATCCAAAATAACACAATCCAGTTTAGGAACAGGAAATGATCAGGTGATGAGATTTTTTGGAATCTTAAGTTTATACATACCAGATGCGATGATGTCTTCGACGATTTCATTTCATTAACACGAATCTCTTTTTCAAATTCATCATCAATTGGTGCGCCAGAGTTCAACGCTGCGATTCTTTCGTCGATGAACTGCAAATAAAGCAAGCCATACAAGTAATTTAGAATGCCTTCATCATTAAGACATGCAAACAAACGTAATGTTCAATGAAAATAGTACAATTTTTACACAATCGTTTATTAAGATATTCTCACTCGTTCAAGGTATTGCACACCATCTTGCCCAAGTAGGGACCGCAAATATGCCTGAAGACCAGGTTTCTGATTTAGGATAAATTTTTGGCGATCCCATGAAAAAGAATACGATGAGCATGACAATCCTTTATGATAACCACCGAAAAGAAAAACGTTTGTCCTGAAATATAATTTATCAGATGATGAAAAATTGCCATGCAGAATTTTCAGATTACCAAATTTTCATTTTAACGAACAATTCTTATCTAATATGTTATGATTCTGATACTTTACTTTTATTAAATATTATTCTAAATTGCTGACCTGAGAAATGAACGAGCTAATCCATCCGAAAAGAACATGTTAGAGGATGAGTGTAAATGATGTCGAAGGATACTCAATGCTTCAGCTGGCAAATCTTGTACATCGTTGTGAGTACACTGCAGTGTACGTTCCTCCAAATCGATAACCATCACATCGCCGAGCTCAAGCTGCTTCACAGACTAAATTGAAATTTAGAGTAGCTGATTTAAACTTTGCAGAATATAACACAAATCTTTGCAAGAAAGCAAGGCTCTTCCACAAAAGATTCTAAACTTAAAATTTCTTTATCTTTCTGAAATACGTGTACTGGAAGTCACTAAGTCACAGTTTGTTGCTCCTTACAACGATGAACTCTAAATGCGTAAAATCAAAATGACATACCTGCAAAATTCTCTTCGGCACACCTATAAGATATGGCATTGGTGCCCTGAAATTAAGAAAACGTTTTGCTACACTGTCAGTTCTAAGAAACTTCAACCATTAAAAGTAAAAAAATCCCATATATTGTAATGCAGCTCAGATGTGGGTTGGAATGAAGCATAGTAAGCATAATCAAAGAAGTTTAGACAAGCCGAAAACACAATGCTAATGTGTTGACGAACTAGGGTGCTTCAAACCTCAACTAACACATAAACTAACTAAAATGAGATGATTTGTATAGCTTGTCTTTTGGAAATTTTACGAACAGCTCAGTCCATCGTGTGAATGCGCTGCAGGGAGAAACGCTTCATGAATGAACAGTCTATTAGATTAAGAGGATAAAAACAATCACACTACAATTACAAGGAAGAATTTTAAAAAATAGGACAAAAAGTGAACAAACTATAAGAAGCCAAAAAGATAAACGGTGAACTTACATGAGCATATCAATCAGACCGACAGGAAGTACAGGAATGAAAAGGTTTTGCCAATGCATTGGATAAAGTAATGCTGCAGCAGCAAATATACATGATGAAAGTTGACTTAACTTCGCGCTCGTAAATAAAATACGCCGTTCTTTCAATAAGCTGCAAAGTAAAAAATTTCATATCGAAAAATATTTTCAAAGTCTTTTGCAGTAATGTTAGTAAAAACTAAAACTAAAGGAAAGGACGGACTTGCCTTGCATACAGTGCGATCATTTGTTTTTCTGATATGGCATTATAAAATTCAAGCATGAATTTATCCTCTTTCAAAGTAGGCAATCGACTGCTATCTGGCACAATCACTTGTAGTTTCTGTAAATAAAAAAAGCAGATAAAGAATTTAATATGGTATCTCCTGAACAAGACTAAAATAATAGTTCCTGCAAAATAAGTACAATACTTCCCTACTAAATTTCTTTAGTTTTTAAAAAAAAACGTGATTATTCTAACACTGCAATAAAAATATTGATGGCTCAAAACTTCAAATTACAAACATCTCTTCGTATAAAATGATAAAATTATTTTGGAGATTTAAATTTTCATCGATAGGAACAAAAGATGTGAATGCACGAATGAAAAAAAAACAAACATTTACACCAGGACTAGATTCAATAAGTAAACTCTCGCCAGGACCAGGAATAGGTGTATGGTACGCACACGTCAAGAAAGAATCCAATTCATTTGTCTTAAAATTTTGGAATTTAGAACACGGAATGTTGGAGAATTTCCAATTAATACGAATTTTTACCAGATCTCAGCGCAAAAATGTTTCGGAAATGAAAAAACTGTCAAGACTCGGAAGCTTGACATACCGGTTTGTTGTTCATTACTGCTGATATGTGATTAAGAATTCTGTAGAAAATATTGGCCCATGGAAGACCGCTGCAAAACTTTCACCTAGATGACCGTCAAAATCAGAACAACTGGAAATGAATTTAAATTTTCCAACAAAATTTTTTGAAAAAGCAATCTACAAAACCAATAAAGTCACTTATATTAAACAAGGAATCCGCACCATGATTTCACCTGAATATTGGGGAATGAAGGCATAGTTCTATGAGTTCAACAAAGTAACATAAATCTTATGCTGGCAAAGTATTGTAAAGAAAATTTAAATCTGTAACCAATCGAAAACTAGAGGAAACCTGAGGATACAAATACATGTATTATTGTGCGGCGTATGTCGACAAAAAGCATACGTATACTGCGACTTTTCGTCCGTTAAAACAAATGAAAACAGTTGTACCGTTTTCATGTTACAGCTGCAAAAGCTATCGTTTTATTTCATCAAGCATATTATCTGAAGTATTGCATTTCGAGATATCAGAACAGTTTGGAAAATGAAATTTAATCTCGTCGAAATTTTCTTTTTATCATTTGTAGGTCAATCTCAGCACAAAGAGTTCGAAGCGCCATTTCTTACCCTGCTATTCAAATATGATTTACATCCTTGAAAACTAAACTTTTTTGCGGAATACGAAGAAAAGGTTATGCAACAAGAAAACTGTTACTGTATCCATTCCACATTTTTAGAATTTTTCGGAATAACGCTGATGAATCATACTTTTTCAAATCCTAAACCAAAAACAAGCAAATGTAATATTATGCTCAAATAAATTTTAGGGAGGGAAAATGAAAAATTTCACCAAAAACTAACTCATCGATGCCACACGGAAAGCTAAACTGAGCTACGGATTTCAGTGTTTGCTCATGATTGAAATCATCAGGATATTTTTGAAGGATGACAGCTATTTCACCATCCAACGTTGCACCCACTTCGCAGAATACGTCGAACAAAGTCACCACATCTTTCCTGAAAGTCTTTTCCGAATGCCCAAATAATCAAAATAAGTAAACCGTGGAAAACTGAAAATTTCTTCTTCGGAAATCAGCCTAGAGATGTAAATGCATCTCAACATCAGAATTCAAATTTTGAAAGTGAAATTACCAATAGAAAATTTACCTATTCCGCGACATGCCTCATCGAAATACTTAGCAAACAATGAAAGACGAGACACTGCACATCCAAATAAAAAGCAACTCATTCACAACTGTTCAGCCTATAAAACTTCACCTAAAACGCGTAAATCGTACATTTTACATAATTTGATAAATACGAAATACATGGAAAGATTCGTTCGAAGGGGTTACGGAGACAAATCCTTCAAAACTGGGGAAGCCAAACAACCTATTTCTAATCAAACAATGTACCGACAAGTGCTTGGTTACTAACAGCACAACACTCTTAAGAATTGAAAGACTTCGACTGCTATTAATTCAGTAACTCTACTCATTCCATAAATTCCCTAGAAATCTTATTTTCCAGTATGGAATTCGAGTTTTATGGACCTGGAATATTTATCTGACGAAAGAACAATGTCATCCATCAATTTTAAAGACTAACTTGCTGATTTCTGATAGTAATGTACACACATATCCAAAACAATACACAGCGTACACTTCACGCTGTGCAAATAAATGTTTTAAAATCATCAAGATTTTTCATGCAGCCATAAACTGAAAAAAATACTATAGATCGCGGTATTCCATTGTATGGAATTGTTAATCCAGAAGACAAAAACAAGATTTTTAAAGAAAATGTTTACTTTTGTGCTGTGTAACAAATTTCCGCAATTGGTGGCGAAAGTGATATCAATGAAATATTGGTAATCAATTAAATCACATAAAAACTGTAACCAGTAAAACCAAAACGTTTAAACCAATTTAGAAAAGAGACAAAAAATGGTGAAAAAATTTGGGTGAGGGAAAAAATTACGAACCGATGTACAAGTATCTTCGCGAACGACTGTAAATCTCGTTTTCAAAGATGCTCATGCATCCATCGTGGTATGTAAAACTTCTAACTGCAATTGGCTAAACCTTCACTCACCGTTACCACAGAGCGTTCAAAGTTTGCTTAAAATGAACCGAATTCCTTAATGGCCATGCCGAAATTTAATTAAAGCAATCAAGTGAAAAAAACTATCAACAAAAACTGGAAAGTTGCAATAGGTCTGTGAACATTATACTCCGCTCGTTTTGAAAATCTTTTGTTCTTACTGCTTTCACCCTTATATTCTCCAGCATATCATTTGAATTCGTTTCAGAATCTCAGAGACTCCGTCATCAATTTAATTTCGAAGGAAAAATGAATCAATAAAGTGAAGGAATTGAATAGGGTATGAAAACAGAAATGTACCATACATGCATGTGCATAGTGACAAAACAAAAAGTTACACTAAAAGTTTATGTGGAATGTAAATTTCGTCGTGGCATCATGTAATCAGCACAAGCACCAAATGTAAAATTGATCGAAATGTGATGCACTTGAAACTACTAACCTTCCAAAATCAATCTATAATCCAGGAAGATTATAATGTAGAGGAGCTATAACATGTTACTCGTAAAGACAACCGTAATTTCTTACATTGTAAAATATTGAGAAGACATTACTTATCAGATTAATGGGAGTGGCCATTCCCAACGAGATGAATAGATGGTACTATGTTTTGAATTATTTATTAAAGGAAATGGTAATATACGTAAACCACACCAGTGTCCCATTTTCTCTAAATTTGCATCACATCGCCAAGCTTTCCAACACTATACTGTAAAATTCTTATTCTCAGCAATGAACATAAACATTGGATTTCGAATATCCAAAAAAATTATCAAACAGATGAAAACAGTAACATATAACAGCAATGCACAGCTGTTTCACCATTCTGGAATATGCCCATTTTTTTGCGGAATCTTTGGATCAGCAACATTTCCCTCTCCCCAATAAAAAATAAGAATGTCTCGAATTCCACGCCAAATAAATTAAATACAAAAGAAGAGTGAAAAAAATTTCAGATTTGCTGTGCCCACTAAAAATAACATAATCATGACGAAGTATATTGATTGATGATTGGTAAACTAGTAACTTGACGATGAGGTTATTCGCAAGCCATAAATACTTCTGTACACAATGGTTTTTTGTTTTATACATCAGTAACTGTTTGCTGGCACACCAAAACTGACCCGTGATTTACTCTGAAAATATGCTAAAAAAAATAGTTAAATTGCATAAAATGGTAGCATGATTTCCGGATACTTCAAAAAAAAAAATAGATGTGGCTAAAATATCACAATTCACTTTTACTTAGGATTAAACGCATCTACTTATTAAAACAAGTATTTAGGTAAAAATTATGGGATAACGATCTATGAGTGATGTCCAATATATAAAACAACATTGCCATAATCACTCTTCCAAACTGCATTCACTCAAATCATAAACGAAACTTAGGTAATTTAATTTGAACATTTGGCTACTGTAACTAGTAAAAAGTTCCAAAAATACAGCTGCACATTAAACGGTACTCTGTCAAGTCTCAAATACATCCATTTTTCTCCCTCAGTTTTAATAACAGTAAATGTACCTTTACTTTTCAATAGCCATTCTCTGCTGCCCTACCTGCTGCACCTGCGACGGTTGCATACGTTTAGCGGTCCTATAAAAAATAAAAATGATTTTCCAGAGTGGAAAAGCAGGAAAGAAGACGGAATATTAATAAATCGACTAAGTCTTAAGTTTCTTTTTTGAATACAGTTAATAATGAGAGCAGATTTTCGCGCATCTTATTTAATAGATTAATTAAGCAATACGAAGTTTATTTTGGTTCAGTTTGGATTGAAATATTAATGTCTTATGAGGATGACGAAAAAAAATTAAGAATAAAAAAGTAGAAATGCAAGTCTCCCAGATCTTACTTGAGCAAATTCCAATCGAAAACATAATCATATGTGAAACCCTGTCGATGGAATAGATTTCGGAAAAGCTGACGTAAGTGCGAATAATCCGGTTGCTCTTCAAAGCCCAGGCATTTGCAGTACTTCAGATAAGAAGCAAATGCTTCTGAAAACGAGCATGTAATGGAAATCAAAACACTGACGTACATAAAAGTCATGTTTTATTAAGTATTCGCTACTCAATTTATAATTACATAAAACAAGATAAGTTATCCCGTATCTAGCAAATGTTTATTTCAAGAAAATGCGACAGAAATTTAATTGCACTTGAAATGGTTATTACAGAATTGAAGAGAAAATTTTTCTGAAGTATCCGAAAACTCAAATATCGATGTGAAAATCAAAGTGAAGACTTACCGGGATAGCCAGCACAAAGTTCTTCAACAGGTGTGCTCATTTTCTTCTCCGAGATCTTATCATATTTCTGCCGTTTTGTTGCTGCTTTCAAACCTTGCCATGGCAAAGTGCCGCGATTGAAGTACATAAGTACATACCCGAGTGATTCAATATCATCCCTTCGACTCTGTTCTATAAAAAGCCATAAATGTAAGAGTCATTTTATACCTCTATTTAAATATTCATTAACAATTGCCTTCGATATTATTATTACTTAGTAGATCAAGTAAAAACAGTTCGCATAATTTCTCATTACTCTCTCCTTATCATACTATTCTAGCATTGCCACAATGAAAAGCAGATGATATGAAAAGTCGGTCTTACCTCCAAATTTTATGACATAATACTCGTATTCATACCTATTCCAAGATGAGTGTTGACAGATGCATATCGTGCCGTTCCAGTAAGATTCTTATTTTCTCTATAAGGAATATGAGCATGTGTCCTACTACAGCGATATTTCTTCGCAAGTCCAAAATCAATAATCTGAAGTGCATTTAAGATAAATTTATAGAGAATAAACTACTAATAATACTTTAATCGTCTCAATCACAAAGAATGCTATATACTGCATCACAGGATTGCACTATCTTTGCACTCTACTGCCAAATCATTTCATTTAACACTTTGATCAAGTTCAAACTGCCTGACTTTCACAGACATCTGAAAATATTTTTTTTCCTGCTTGAAACTCCCGAAAGCATTAGTCTACAGTGTTCTAAATGAAAAAAATCTCGTTGCAACCACGTCCTTAAAATTTGCAGTCTTTGAAACTTTTCATATGCCTTATAAGGTCTATAAATATCTTATAACGTTTATAAACGTGGAAAAGTCAAAAAGACTTACATAAACTAAATTGCCTTTCTTTCCTAATCCCATCAAAAAATTGTCAGGTTTAATATCACGATGAATAAAATCTCTCGAATGGATATATTCGATGCGGGATAGCTAAAAATTAATTCGTTTCAAAATTCAGAATTTTGAATATAAGAGTACTTATCTAGAACTTGCTTCCAGGTATTTCTTCATTCTTTAATTTATAGTCCATTTCTATCAGGCAGGCGGTTTTATGACTCCTCATACTTGTGAGAAAATCTGTTGTAGTTCGTGCCCATAACAATCAGAACGCAGAAGCGTATTCTAGAGGTCACTTGGAGCATCTTCGTGTAACTTTAACTAACTGATTTCATATATTTAAACAAATCCCACCATTTGGTCAGCTAAAAGCAATACGGTTTTTAGAGTAAATTTTCGAGAGCAAAAATTGAATAAATCTTCAAGAGATGGTCCCAACAGCTCCATTACCATAACGTTGTATTCACCTTCGTAACCACACCATTTTACCTTAAAAGCGCTCTTTTGAAACAATTAATGACTGCTAATAATTTTGAAAAATTTTTTTTAAGCTAAAGTACTATCAGTTTCTTTTTCCCAAACAAAAAATATATTTAATTTACGCAGCCGGAATTAATTCAACGTATTGTAAGAACTTCGTTCATGTAACTACATATTTTCTCATGAAATATGGCTATTACTAACACGAATTTAAAGAGCCCGAACTCAGCCGCATCAAGAATAAAACTATTAGCAAATCTTAATTCATGCAAATTGTTCCATAGTAAAAAATTGATTGAGCTAGAAATGGCGTACGACAACAACACCTACCTGAGGAATACCTATTCCTCCACTCATCAGTTTATATAATCTAGCCTCGATGTGTAGCTGTGGGTGCTTAGTTTTCACACATTCCAACTTGATTGCTACTTCCTCCTGTGTTACGATATTTTGGCCTGTAAAACAACGGACAGATCAATTTTAAAAAAATGGAAGTGAGAATAAAATTAATTTATTCCGTTTCTACCGCTTAAAAAGAGAAAATCTGAGAAAATAAATCACTTCGCATTTTCTAAACTGAACTCTAATCTTAGTTGTAAATATTGCTTACGATGAGTGAAGGAAAGTGAAGGAAGAAAATTCTGAATAACATTCCCTACCCAAATAGATGTCACCAAATGAACCGCTGCCAATTTTGCGGCCAAGTCGAAAACGAGCACCAACCCTCAGCTCCATAAATACTGCAAATATATTAGTGAGAGGTATACAAGGACAGCAGAGAAGACTGAATTCAGAAATGTTTCTTGCATCCGACTATACTTTTGTATGACGAACCAGTAGTGCTATTTCCGAAATCTCGCGAAGTTAAGCTAAGCTATTCGAGAAGGCAGCAATACGTGGTTGTATATGTGCGTAAAGAATGAAATAAGGAAGCAATGATTACGTCCTAAACAAGATCCTTCGGAAAGCTCATTATTTGGCTCGAATTAGGAGTCGAAACAGCCGGAAAAGTAATAATGGATCGGAAACCGTATTCGAAATACCGGTACAAAAAAAAGGAAACTCACAAATTACACCATACAAGCCATCCACCTTCACCTCCCACTCCAACACTGTCAAACCAATGCAAACCAACCAATCACTTTTTGAAACAGCCGGAAAAGTATTAATGGATTGGAAAACCGTATTCGAAATACCGACACTGCCAGACCTTCACAAAAAATTTAGCGAAACTCGCAATGACACCACACAATACATCCCCACTCCACCTATCCACCCCCGACACCGTCAAACCAATGCAAACCAATCAACCACCTTTGACGATGTGGCTTGTGAAAAATTTATAATTAGCGCAGTTCAGGACAGTTGCGCAGTGTTTCGCAAACGACTTTATGAACGTCGTTGAAATCAATGTGCGGATTGATATAATTGGAGCGGGTATTTTTTCATGGAAAGCCTCGTATTGAATACGTTAGGATAATAGGACATTTGATACACATGAAGTGGTTGGACACATTGTTATAATCAGCATTATCTGAGCAAAGTTTTACATACCAAAATTTCACTTTTTAATTTTTCTCACAACTAATTGTATTCAGAGAAGCAAAAAAGCTGTTAGAGCCTACAACTCTTTTTTTGGTGGAAGGGTTACGTACCCGAAAAAGCATCAGGCGCAACTAATATCTGATGCACTTTTTTTGTGTTTTTAATTTGTGACGCATCTATGGTGGACATTGATACACTGTTAAGCCGACATGATTTTTCTGACTTCAAATGAGTTGATAATAAAGAGTAACGGGGCATATTTCTGAAAGTTGTAAACAAACGAAAGAGACAATACAGCATGCCGATCATCAAAAACGAAGTAATCTTGATAGCTATAACCTGATTAGATTGACTCGACCAAACCGTATGAAAGATTTGAGAATAATAATGTTGTGTTACAAACATTGCATTTTATAACTTATATGTTGAACAAATTGCCTGCCCTCCCCACTGCCATTGAATCCGCTGCTTTTTTTGCATATTCAAATTTTTATTCCGTTTTCAAATAACTTACTGGCATGTAAGAAATAAATACATTATAACGAACGCAATTCAGTTATACCATTTTACTTCGGTTGGTTCAGTTGTCGTCAAGTCGGAGAAAGATTTGGATCATCATGAGTCGATTTTCATCATCAGATCGTCACCATATGTTTCAAGATGTTGATCGCTGGAATCCATTGACTTCATTTACTCGACACTACACTGCCAATGAACGGACCAATGAATGTGCCGAATTGGATACCTTAAAAAATTTTAAAGTGGAATCCCTTTTTGACTACTCTTTGCTCCAAAATGGTTGCAATAGAAAAAAAATTATCCAATTCGATGGAATCGCGCCCATTATTGAAGGCTTGCTTTTATCTCATTGAAATAGCCAATGATGTTGAAATATCGTTTAAAATTTAATTTCAAAAACTTTAGAAATAAGTAATCGCGCTAAAATTCAACTATAGACAGTTCTAACAGAATTCACACATGTTGTAGATGAAGATGAACCGTACTTCAAAGGAGATGCATGTAAATTGGAGCATCGTCGACGAACTCGAGGTACAGTGGTAGAAGCGAATAATTCTATGGAAGTTCCAATTGCACTAACCCATTATTTACGTCCGAATTTGAAATTTGATATTGTTACTACCAAGACTTTCCTTGCGATGCTTTGCCGGTAGGCATTTCAAACTTGTATTGCCTCCTGTCTTTCCCTTCATCTTAATATTCTTCCATATCTTGTTTTCTAAGCTGAAAATTCAAATTTAATAATGCTTACATTTAGTTCTATTGTACAGCTATACAAACTACCGGACCCTGTAAGTAATTTTGGACTGCTTTCATTCCTTGACTTTTCTGCCACCTGCTATCCTCCTGTTCTTTTTTCATTTCTGAAATAAATTTGCGTTAATGATAAATTCGTTTAGGCTTGCCATCATGAAAGCATTATTTGTGAAAATATCTCGGAAGAAATTTTTTCCACATTTATCATTGCTTATGTCATATTAATAACAGTGTGATAGCTCGTTTTTTTGTAAATTTTTAAAATACTCTTTATAGTTTCATCGACAATGAGCGTCGTTTTTATCGCTTTAATATTGAACGCATTGGAAATTTAATAATCATTGAGGAGGTACCTTTCGGCGATGCACGCCCTTCCAAAACCTATCTCCAAGGAGCTCTGGACATTTTAACTGGGCGGTAAGTCATTACACAGTAGAGATTCAAAAATGAAATTTAGACGAAGCTAAAAATATGAATTGGTAGGAAAAAACTGTAAAAAGATGTTCTCTTGGCAAGTACTTCACAAACTTCAAAAAATTTTCTAGTAGCCTGGACATAGATCTTTGATTCTACATCTGTTTTTGGCACCGTTAAAGTCTTAGCTCAAAATATTTAAACCTCACTAGTCTTTCAATTATGAAGTATGTATGACGAATTAATTTGAAAATTAGAAAAGTAAATGAATCAGGTTCAAAAATTTTGAAACGTGGTATTCAAGAGCAAGTATGGATTATCGACAAATATCATTATGCGAATTTGGTACAATGCGCATTCTATTGCGACAACATGTTGATTTAACGGAACCGTCATCCAATGGACACATTAGCACGCAAATGCACTGGCAACAAAGTAATTAGTTAGTCTATTAGTTTTGTGGGATAACTAAAAAAAGATAAGGAATCAAATATCGCATTTGCATTCGAAAAAAAGACTAAAAAAGAAAAAACTTTTAGATTAAAAGAACAAAAAACCCTGGACTTTGGATAAAACATTACTTTCTAAAGTGTTTTGTAGACAGAATGATATTCCTATTTACTAACTTTCTCTTAACTTTTTCCTTCCAATCTTTTGCCACTTCTCTTTAGCATACTTCTTCATTTCCGAGGCACTTTATAATCTCATCCTTCAGAGAATCTTTCTTCCTATTCCTTCATTTTTTTATTCTTTAATCCATTTACTTGGATATTTCAGAAAATACTCGTCAGGATCCTAAAAAGCCGTTCCTTCCGATATTAAACGATACAATTGAATCAATGTCAAGAATGCGTGGATTTATTGATCAACCAGATCCCATTTTTCACATCGATGGCACTAATGTTGCAATTCGGGGTCCACTTGTGTATGCATGTTTTTTTATTCACATAAAGAAAATGGTTTTAAATGCATTAATCCAAAATAAATGTTCAAATAGATTCATTAAAAAAGAAGGGTATTATTATAAGAAGGATATTAAAAGAAGGATATATTATAGGCCAGAGACACCAAAAAAGCCAATTGAAATAATGTGCCGGTCATTCCAACGTTTTTCGGTATGTACTTCGTTGTAATACTTCATCACTTTTGTTCTAGCCGCGCACTAATTTGCATGCATTCATACAAAAAATTGAGGATGAAAAACTAGAAAGTCTAGTAGATTGACTTAATTTGTGTAAATGGAACCTGCGATGTAAATATTTGAATTACTGGGACCTCAAATTTTCTAGGATTTCTTCAGACGACTTTATTTCTAGTTTGAAAACCTTCAAATGAAATGGCCAAATATGGTTTTCTCGGGTGCTGATCGTATTGTTAGTGTCCTTCATGTTCGAGGACTGATCGATCACAAACCAAAAAGTTTCAGCTTCCGTGACATAGCACCTAAAGGTTAGTGATTGTTTATCAGATTCTGTAGAAGAACTTTTTGAAAAGTCCCCAAATCAAGTAACAAATGTTGAAACTGGAGTAGTTCATTAATTGAAACTAGTTATTAGATCCAATGAAGGACATTGAGTGACTGAAAAATAGGAATACCACACGGCTCTCTTGAAACTTTGCCCTATACAGTACTTATATTTTTAAAAAATACATTTGAACACTTTGAAATCAGGATATAAGAACACATTGGCACGCGCATCGGCACTTTGCCGCCACATCTTTGATTACATAAAGGCAATCAGCAATTCTGACTGCGATAAGTTCGCCCTGATTTGGTATGTTTCGAATTTGGAATGTTGGGTTTTTGCGTTTTGTCACCAAAAGCGATAACTTCTTTTTTACCGTAATTTTTTTTTGCTATTTTGCAGGTTTTATCATTTCATTTATGGCGCAGAAATCAATTGAATCAAATCTTTCATTTAGGGTGAATGACAAACTAGTCCCATTGGATGTTAACGACGGTAACCACTTGGTTCTGTATCGCCGTCGTTTGAGAGGTCGAGCGTTGGATGAAAGCTCATTCGTCTCAACACCACTTCGTACTTCAATTCTTCGTACATTCTAGAGAAAAGAAGCTTTCCAGTGAAAGAAATTTTTTCCTTTTTCATAAAATCATTTAATAGCATTTATTTGTATTTGCTAGATATAAAGGATTTTTATTTTATTCGGTTAAAATTGAATCATAACATCGTGTTAAAGAATAATGATAGTATCAACAAAACTAACTTCGATAAATCAAAACCAACGAAGGACTAATAATTATCTATTCATATAAATCTTTCATTTTATTTCACTTATGTTCAATTTCAAGCGCTATAGCACTACTGACTATATTTCGTTGCACCGTGTGTCAAAAGACGTGCATTAATATTTATGCATCATGTTATAAGAATTACTGAAACAATGACGACTTTCGGTATTTCACGTGTATTTTTCTTCAGTACTCCTGCTTTTATATTTTGTGTTTGCATGCTCCCAGGAACTGAAAAACAAAGGAGAAATTACACTTATTAATAGAAATTCGGATTAGAAGGAACTATTAATTCTTTTACACTTTCGGAGATGCTAAAAATAAGAATAATAACCTATATTAAAGAAGTTTTAAATAATACCTTGCAAATATCATGTTGATTCAAGTAGACGACTGTCCACGCCAGAAATTTCGGCATGTAAGTCATGGTCAAGTTTTCGCACTGAATTAAAAAAAAATTTTAATCACTCTAGCGATAGAAAGATCTCGTCGAAATTTAAATTTTTTGAAGGGAATATTTTGACAAAACATATATCGTATTTTCGTGATTTATCATTGAAAATAGTAAAATTATCTTTGTACGATTAATCAAGTATAAAAGAAGATTATGTGTCATGATAGACCATCAATGAAGGTATTTCTCTATACCAGAGTATCTGAATATCTATCATTTTTAGAAGTGTTCGAATAATATAATTTTAATAGGAAAACTTACAAGGCTTTTCTCATAGGGCAATTTTTGACAAAATTTATGATAAAAAATGTTTTCCAAAACTTTTTGAAAAACTGAATCAACTAATTGTGTTTTTATTTTGCTTAATGCATTCCGACATGCTTCACACGTTTGAAGATTTTCTGCTGAAAAATTCCAGTTTAATATCAATGTTTACATTATAAGCAAAGAATAGTACCAGTTAATAGCTAATATATGAGAAGCTAAAGAACTGTTCGAAGCTCAGTCCTCAATAAACTGCCGGCGAAGGAGATATTTTAATTCTAACAAGAAGGGACGATATTGTTTATAATGAAGAAACCCCATAGAGTTTGAAATAGCAGGAAGTTTTAGCTTTACATCGCTTTACATTTTACTAAACTATAAGTCAGAAACCTCAATATAGAATGGAACTAACATCTCAGAATGCTTTCAATTGTGAGTTGTTCATTCATGGATTTCACAAAACTATTCGCCATCCGTAATGTGTTACTATTATTTCCCTGAAATGTAAATTTTCATTTAAAGTGTTTTCATAATCGTTGATTGAAGCTCGATGAAAATGGTGACATGAACGGGCTGGTAATGAATTTTGGTAAGAACGAAAATGCTTTGGATACGATTATTTTGTGGCAAAGCATACACGAAGTGTACTTAAATCTAAATTTAAATTTCGAATTTTGAATATTTTAGATATTCGGAAAAAATTATTTTTGGATACTGGAGATGTTGAAAGGTGGAAGAAATTTAATGAGCTGTACATTTACTTTTTCATCAATGTTTTAATAGAATTTCAGAGCAAAAGTCAATGTAGCAAGCACTAACATTGCCCACGAAATATGGAGAACGAAGTACACAATGTATTATAACAAATAAGTAGAAGTTCATGTTTTTTAATGAAAAATATTCTTTCTTGAAAGTTAAAGTTAGAAAAATGTTGAAGCGGAAAATACCAACCTTTTGAGAATTGAAATCGTCGTCTTCCGATACAGTTAATGGCTCCATTAAACGTTTGCAAAGACCAATGTCTGCACAGAACTGAAAATTTTTGGAAAATCTTTACCAGATATTTCAGAATTACAACTTTTAGAAATATAATTTTCAATTAGGATTATTATTATTTCTAATACAACACATTTCTTTCCAGTTAAATGAAGGATCTAATAGCTATCAGTATTTTAAACAGGCGAATGTTTTATCAACTTAGAAATACTACTCTTATAAAAGGTCAAATAACTATCTCTTAAACACTTTGGTATTCAGAAAGTATAATACAACATGTATGCATAACTTTCTGTTATATTACTATTAAATTAACTGATAATCGAAATATTAACAATAGAAAACATAAAACACTTGTTGCATAGTGTCACTATATTCGAGCTGTAAATATTAATCAACTTACTGTTTTTGTATTTTGTAGAAGTTTATCGAGTTCTTCCATAAATTCGGGCATAAATTCTTCAAGCAATAGATCGCACTATAAAAGAAGCTTACCAATATAAAACTTTATAATGCATTCAAAATTTCAAAAAAAAACAAATTCCAAAGAATTCGATTTTCTAAAGTATTTTAAAAAAATTAGAATTTCAAAAATCCAACAGCAAAATTTCAAACAGAATTTAGAAAACACATACTTTTCCTCGCAAATTGCCCAACTGACTACAAATCTCCTCCGAAATGAATCGTTTCAATCGTTGTTGAGTTTTTTCGTCTTCTATAGTACGTTTTAATTCCTGTGCCGCAAATTGACACTCTTCACATATCAAATCACTCTGTAAATCACTTAGTGCCATAAAAATTAATAGATTACTTTAGCATGAATATTTTATCTAAATTTAGTCTAATAATCAACCGTTCTCTTCAATGGAATCTGAAAATATGTTCGTATTGCGAATCCATCTAAAATCTCATCGTTATAGTTAAAATTTTAATATCAAAACAATAATTAATCAATTCTGCGGTGAACAAGTACAGAAAACAGAAAATACCGCTGTGTCTCCATCCGCATTTTTTCTTCCGTAAATCACATTTATTCGATGAAAATATTCAATTTTCCGATTTGAACAAAGACGGAAATACTGGCAAATTTTTTCTGGATTTTTCTAAAATACAGTTTTAAAGTTGCATAAAATGCAAAATGTCTTGCAAGACAGTTAAGGCAAAGGAAGTTCAAATTGGGTTTTCCAGAATTTTCCTCAAAATAAGCTTTTCTTTATGATGTTGAAGTTTCATAGGGATAAATTAGCAGTTGGGTAATGCTAAAACGAAGTAATTTTCGCTAACCTCCACCTAGAACATATCGCAGCAAAAATAAGACATTCCAGTTGCTGGCAGACTAGATAAATGAACCGATTAACTTTTTTAAGAATAAAAAATAATTTTAAAAAAAAGCTGAACCAAATATGGCTGCAACTTCTCGATAAAATGATCCAACTGATTAACCACCAGACGACATTCGTCCTCATATGATGTCTCATTGCAAAGTATGCGCAGTAAATCTTTCAGTTCAGCTATTTTTTCTGGATTTTTGATTGCTTCAGCGAAACGCATAATAATCTGAAATTTCGAATGAAAAATCCTAAAATGAGTCATTCGAAAAAGAAATAAAATGTATCAAACTTGGAATACTTCAAAAATCTAACCATTTTACATTCACTACATGTGCCGTTAAATGAGTTTGCTTGCAAAATTCGAATTTCTTTCGGTGTTTTATTATCCTTCAATATGAATTCCTTATAAGCAGAAGTGAGAATAATCAGTGCGGAGAGAACAACAATCTTAGCCATCATTTTTACGCTTACACCTGAATATTCAACATTTGAGAACAAAGGATGAATGTATTCCACGTCCTATTCCACTTTTCTACATATCTTAACCATAATTTCAGAATGCTATACTCATCACATTTACGACTAATTAACATGTCCAAAAGAGAAAAATTATCGAAAATCTGAAAGAAAAGGGATAAATACGGTAGAGATAGTTTATTTTTCGAAAGAAAAACATTTCCTAGACAAGTTTATCGTCAGCCTAAAACATATGAATAGTGAAAATAAATATCTGAATGTGATTAAAAGGAAGAAAATTGGGGAGTGCAAGACACAACTCTAGGCATTATTTACCAATTGCTAGTGACTACATAAGAGGTCAGGGGTCAAATGAAGCAATACGAAGACAAAGAATGTCGAGAGGTCAAATGAAGCAATACGAAGACAAAGAATGTCGAGAGGTCAAATGAAGCAATACGAAGACAAAGACCTAACAAAGCAAGCAAGGAGATTATTTTGGGTAGATGTGATGTGTTTGTTCTATGTACCGTCCGAAATTTTCGCTTTTTTCTTTTACTGATGTAATGCTTAATTATTATTGCTTAGATTTGACAGAATGTGAGAAGTTAAACAGTTGCAAATTTCTGTTGAAATAATTTACAATGAAGCAAGAGAAATTCTTTCATAAAACACATTATCACACTTCATTTATCTATTCCATTTCTTTGATTTCTACACATTGAGACATAAATTTCGGATCACTCAAAAATTTCTGTCATATTTATAGTGGCCTGAATCAGCTACTCAACAAAAGACTTGTCCACGAAAAAAGGTAAGGCCCTTTTTTTCGTGGCCTGAATGACTAAATATTCGAAATCAGAATTTGATACCAATATCATTAGATGGACAATGCTAGACGTATCATTCCTAATGGTATCGAAATGGAAATTCGCATTCCACTGACTAGCCAAGAATGAATGAATGAAATGAAAAGCTTGCTTTTAGCAGCAGAAGGTTAAAATGCGAACAACAAAAAAATCCATTCCGGTTGCCGATGGGCAACGAAATGGGAGATATGGGAATTAAAATAACTCGGCGATAGCTCATCTATCGACTCTTTTGCAGAACAACTGTTGCACATATGTTGAAATCAATATGTTGATTACGCGCAGTTCTCATTTCAATTGTTCTTTTAAAATTTCTTAAATTCTGATTTAATCGTAGCTTATCGTAAATTTCAAAAAATTGTAGCATCGAGAATGATATAGATATTTTGAGCCAGAATTTCTGATTAATAAAACCAATGCACAACTTGTTGTCTGTCTGACGTATAATAATCTGATTTCTTCAAACAAACTAAACTGTATTCCATTTCACATCCGATTAAGAAACCAGTCCTAAGATCAGACTATCATCTCAAAATTCATCAAAATTTATTCTCATTTTTTAAATTCTCTTTTCTTATTTCAAATTCTCTATAGAGATGAAACAGATTTGCCTTTATAGTTTTTCAGTTTATAAAGAGATTGAAATGAGAAAGTTTTCATATTCGAAATTGTTTTTTGAAATAAAATATTGTCTTCAAAAATAGTTTCGAATACTTAATTTCAATTGCAAATAGACTATAATTTATAGATGGAAAAGTTTTCAGGTACGAATAAAAATATATATTTTAAACTGAAAAGGTCAACTCGTGAAATAAAACATAAGAAAATTGGTGGTAATCAAACTTTGCACCGTCGGTGAAAGAGTTACGAGGTTGCAAGATTGATGCGGCAGCAGTTAACGTGAAGGATTTGCTCATAAGAATCTTGAATTTATCAGAATATCTTACAATTTATCAGTATTGTGTAAATTCAACAGCAAATTTATAGAACAATTTTGACAACCACTCGATTATACCATCAATTGCTTAATGGAAATTTTGCAAGCTCAGCAATACAAAACCACCGGATGTGTGAAATTGAAAATTATTATTAGCACATATTAGCAGGATTGCTCCCACATTCATTTCAATGAAAAAGGTATGAAATGCTGTTTTTGAAAATTCCATTGAACAAGTTTATCCAATTGAATCCAGTTCTTATCTCAGTAGTAAAGCAAATCAGTTCGCTGCACTTTTTTATATGCATGTTTTTCAAAAATTCATGGATTATAATTCGGTTACTGAAAATCCTGAAGATTGGATGGAAAGAAATTCTTTATAGAGATTAAATTGGAAAGATTATTTTTTTTTTCAATTTAGGAAACTTGATAATCGAATGTTCGCATGATGTGATTTATTGCAAAAAAAATCTAGCAGTTGGCCAATAAACTTCTACTAAAAGTTATTTTGACTATTACTGATAAGTAATCGATATAATTAAGCATATTTTATTTATGTTATAAATAAAAAAATACAGTTTTTGCTTGTATTAGAAAAATTTGCTCAGTTCAGATGGCTAAATTATAAACGAAGAAATTGTGATCGAATTAGTTGAACCAGCCAGCTTCTCGGCAATCTTTGAAATAGAAACAAAGTTTCGAAAAATTTATCGATAAGAATGTTTGAAGTACTGCGAATCATCCAAATTGCAATTTTATATAAGTAAACTGAAAGTAATTTCTAGGCCAATGAAACCGCTCTATGACAAATTATGAAAATTTTATAAACAATTTGGATGCAAAAAAATTCTATTTTAAATTTTTCGACAATAGAAAATTAGAAATTGGTAATTTCAAAGTTGTAACCAAATTTAATTAAAAGTCTAAATTATATGGAAAAGCAAAACCGAATTCATAAACTTGGATTTCTCTTTATATGAACTACAAATTCGATATTCATGTGCCAAACTAATTTTGTGATATACATTGCATTGCACATAAAAAGAGGATTGACAAATAGCGAAATGTTTCTTCATGACTTCTTTGTGATAACAATTATAATTTCAGAAAATTCTAAAATTAAAAAATGCTTGGTTAATCGATTAATCAACCGATCAGGTTTCAAGAAATTTCTCTGCAAAATGGTGATTAGTTTATGCTCAAATAAAATGCGTTATTTTGAGCGCCATATGTTCCTAAAATTTGTTTAAACTTCAATTTATGTTAAAGTTCGAATTTTGAATCTCTATAAGAAAATGAATAACATATTTTGCTTTTACGTCAAGTTCTTTGGTGAACAATTGATTCACTTCATTTGTTGGAAAAAAAATCCATCTTAATTTCCAAAACTGCTCTCACATATCATCCGCACATAATATTAAAATATAAGATATCAGCAGTGTTTAATTCAGATTAGATTAAAATCGATTTGTGGAATTTGTGAAATTATATATTATTGATTTATGGAAGTTACATTTTTTTACTTCCTAGCCTTCGTAATGTCAAGGAATATTTTCATATTTGAATCAAATATGAAGAAAATTTGTTTTTCAATATGAATTGTAAGTAAAACACTGAATAGTGCAGTTGTAATGAAAGACAGGAAAATTCAATTACAGTTCGATTAATTTATGAGGTTTTCGTTTTTTTCGAAAATCAAATTATTTAGAAAACAATGATCAGAAATAGCGTTACCACGTGGAAGTTTTATAGCTCATCCCGAATAGCCGCACTAATACTGACGATGAAGATTATATTTGGTGAAATATAAAGAATAAAGTTTAATTGGAGTTAACCTTAGAACGGCTTTTATATGGAATAAATTAAAAGAAATGGAATTAATTTCTAATTATATTTCAAATTGTTTTGAAAGAAAAGACATATAAAGCAATTCCTACTATCATTATTTAATTTCAATTCCATATCCAATATTTAAATTATTATTTAAAATATAAAAGTTATTAATTTTTAAATCATTACTTTTTTACCAGAGAATTGATAAGAAGTATTTCAGTTTTAAGTAATGCTTCTTCTTGCATTTTCATTTCAATTTCCTTAGTTTTCTTCGAATGAAGAAATATTTCTTTTGATATTCTCTTTGCTCCTGGCGCTTTATATTTCTACTAAAAGCAATAATCGTTATCACTGCTAAAATAATCAAAACAGTTATAGTAATATCTATAATGCTCCTTTATTTCATTTTTTATACCTTTCCATCCATTATACATGAAATATTTCGCATATCCTCTTCACAACAATTGTGATTACTTTATTTCAAACCATATGCCATAAGGTTTTTGTTTTTTTGATAACGTAAAAAAGTTGTCTATATCGCACTGAAATATAATTTCATAGAAAATTTATGATCAGATAATGTATAATAATTAGAATCATAATTAGCATAATAATCATAATCAGAATCGTTGCTTTTAGTAGAAATATAATTCTGATTCTTTTTCAGCAATTTAAATTTTGCAAATTGGTAAAAATTGAAATGCAGTTTAAAATCCTTTTATGATTAATTTCTTGGCAGCAGGACATTTTTTTCTTTCTTTTAAAGTGACAATGTGCTGCATTTGTCACCGATAATCATTTGCTGAAATTTTATAAATATTAATGAGAAAATATTAGAGAAAAAAGACAGAAGAAAATAAGATTTAGAGGAAATGAAACGCATTAATACTTCAATGGTAATCATTACACTCAATGCGATGATTTATTTTCGCACTTAATAATTTAATTTCTTAGGCGAATTTTTCACAAGTAAAAGTTGCAGTGATATATTGCCCTATTTCCTAACTCAAGTCCTTAGTTTGACATACATTTTTTCTAATCTCAAGTCAATCCAATTTTCTTAGATAACAATGGATATTCATTCACTTTCTGCTGATGATCGAATTATCAGAACAAAAGAGACTGTCAAATCAATAAGAAATCGATTAGCAGATTTTGAAAAATAAGCTACTTCATACTTTTCTGTAACTAATTTAGACTAAGCAATCAAGATTATACAAATTTAGTTTTGCTATAATTGACAGAAAAAAACTCGAAATCGGTGAAAAGTACTGAAATCATCCGATACTCATTTTTTCATTCAACAGTGAAATTCCTTTAATGATCAAATGAATCCAAATCTCCCGTTTCCTCAAAAACCTCAATGAATTGAGATGAACTTTTAACTCATTTGTTATAACCTTCAATTCCATGATTCTGAACATCGAGGAAAAAAAGTAAAGTAGATAAAAATGAAATGAGAAGTGCTACATTTAAATTTAAAGATTAAATTATTGATACTGTCGATTAGCAGCTATAAATTTAACTTATTAGCAGTAGTAGCCAAGCACCCTGCTAACTAAACAATATTTTTATAATTTTAATAGTTTAAATTATGAACCTTCTTCAGATGAATCAACTATAAATAATGGTATGATAACAATAAATAACGGAAATCAAAAGATAGTACGCCAAAAAAGAAAATTTCGTGGCAGATAAAAAATATATATATAATAATCACTGAACGTCACCGAAAATACCGGCAAATGTACGTTTCAGGTGACCCATCGTATCATCCTGATGTTGCGGTTGCTGTGAACTGCTTCCTGGTGGTTCTTTTCCTTGCCTACTTGGCTGCCTTACTGGCCGATTAGGTTGTGCTGTTTTCTGACTAGCAGAGCTTTGCCGGCGCAACCTGTCGTCACCATTCATTGCAGTTTCACCTTCAAAATATGTGTAAAACCGTTGGTACACAAAAAATTTTTTAACTGAATTTAGGTTAACATCTAATATTATTAAGCAACGTGGAAAGTAAGAACTTTCACGAACACGCTTTATTTTGCAATTCTTCACCACTTTCAAATTTTGAGAAATATCAATAGACGAATCAAAAATCTTTGGATGTGTTTTAATATCGAGTAGAAATTACCTGCTATATTTGTTTCCGATGTATTGGATCGTGAAACACTTGTTGATTGAGGACGTGGTGGTGGAACCGGAGGCATAGCAACGCGTGTTGAAGCTACTATTTGTTGCGTAATGCGTTGAGCACTTAAAAAATATTTTCAAATTTATTTGGTCAAATATAATAAATCATTTTTGACACTTATGCTTTAAGTCCAATGAAACACTGTAGGCAATAGCATGTGCGCGGCATTCAAATTTAAGGATTTGGCTTACATTTTTGACTTAACCGATAATCAATCCAAAGTTCAGAGAATTTATTAATATTTCATCAGAATCTCAAAATTCCCACAGTTTGTATAAACTTAATTACTTCAACTCAAGTTTGCCTCAAATTATTTCAAATTACTTTGGTAAATTTTTGAAGAAGAGAAAAATAGAGAACGAATACTAACGATTGTATGATGTGAGCTTGAACGAGATCAGCAATAGCCCTGCGATCATCTTCTTGGGTATCACCAAGTAAAGTTATAACATCATTCACATCGTGAACTATCTCCCTTCCGTCTTTTGCGACTAAAATATCGATCCCGAATACCTCCAGCCCACCGAAAGCGTCTGATATAATAGTTAACCATTGTTTTTGCCTCAAATAATTATTTTGAAATTTTTTTGATGTTACTATTTAACACATCAACCAATTTATTTCACATAAAATTTTAGTAATTAATTTGAATCTGTTAAGGCTTATCAATCATTTATTCTACCATTTAATCATTTATCCTATCTTGAAAAGTTGGCACTAAATATTCATTAATAAATTTACTTAGAGTATTCAGATTTTAGAAAACAGGTAAATTAAATTGAAAAAAAGAAATGAAAATAGTTTGAATTTTAAATTAAAATCTTCTGAGAAAGGTCTGATATTTTTCAAAAGATTTATACCTGTTGGAGAGAGAAATTTTCTCCAACATTGCGGAACCAGCGTTACTCTTCCAATCATTTGATATACCCTTACGAATGTAAGCTCTTGTTTCTGCACCAATTTTCTAAGAAGAAAATTCTCACTAAAGTTATGCTTTTAAAGATCCCAAAAATCTATTAGATTAAATTAGATTACTTGAAGCATGTATGGAAAAGTTATGGGCTACAAATAACATTTTAGGTAGTTTTTTTCAAAATAATAAAAATATTTATAATGCATCATACTAAAATGTTTTTTTCTCACCTGTAAATGTATATCATATTTTGTTTCAATGAAGGGTTCAATTAAAACTTCCACAGGTCTAATTGCTCGTAGCATATTTTCCACTTCTATCAAATGATTTTCGTCTTCGATTTTCATCTACACATAAACAGTAAGTTTTTTTAATAATTGAGATAATTTTCTCATGCATAGAAAAAAAGATATGAAAAAATTACATATATTCTCATAATTTCAAATTCTTTAGAAAAAAAGACAATTGAAAAAGTTTGCCTTTCCAAGTCCGTGACTTCCATGCCCAATACGTATCACAACAGGAAATCGAGGTTGCACACTCTGCAAATACATTTTTGACAAGAAATAGTTCATTGTATTATTTAATAAAGATGAACAAGTTTCTAAAAAACTTAGGTTACGAAATGATCAAATGATGGATAATAAGTTTGTTCAATCAGAGGTATGATATTCGGTCCAGCTGTTTCACAAATCCATTGAAGTCGATTAAACTGAAATATAGTGAATGATGTTAGGTGAAATTTTATTTATTAAACATTATAAATAAATGTTCGAACTAAAATATAACTTACTGCTGTTCTTCACCAATCATGAAAGTAGTAGTATTTTAGCAATTAGGAAATCTACCAAAAATTAAGAGATAATTCTAAAATTCCTTATTTCATCCATTTCCGAATGGCTTATTTCTCCGAAAAGCGTCACCAGAGAGATAAAAACGAATAATGCTGAATGTCGAAAATATTTGTCAAGATTCGATCTTCTAAATCATTCAATTCAACAAACGTGATAGTTAACATCGCTCAATATTTCTCAAATTTTAACTACCAAATATGAAGTATTAAGTTTTTAAACTGCTCCTATCACACAGGATAATAAAAACTTATACCATCCAATTTTTGTTCAAAAATATCCATACGCTTTCAGGATTATTCAGAGTTTGCACACCTCCTTTCAGCAATGCTGTAGCGATATTGGTATAATCACCTCTTTCACTGTTTGCATTTTGACGAAACAAAACGAAGTCTGGTTGCATCCTTCTGGAAAAAATAAATTGATGCTGAAATCACTTAATATCTAAATATTCAATTCATGCTTGCCTCCATTACATTGCTTTTACTTTCATTTTGATAACTTGATAACTTTTTTGTTCAATGTCTCATCTGTTATTTTGAATAAAAAGGAATTAAGCTTCAAACTAAATTATTGCATCATCTAGCTATTGATATACTTTTCATATAAATTTAACAATGAGAAAAAGATACATACAATAAATTAATAAAAAAGCTCTTTGAAAAGTTTTGAAACTTGTCTAGATATAATGGTATTTATCATTTAAACAGTTGCTCAACGAATATGGAAAAATAAGCAATTAAAAAAATTAGGAAAAGAAAAATTTCTGAGAACTTCGAGGAAAAATACCTGTGTTCTTTTCCGGGTTCCAAAATATCTACCGTACACTTGCAATTGGAATGACAGCAGACATGCATTTCTGAGAACGGAGCCTAGAAATGAAATTCACTTTAATCACAAGTAAAACTTTTTAATTCTCCGAAATGAAGCCAACACTTCAAAGTTTAATAGTATGATTACTAAACGAAGCGACTCTTAAAAACATATAAGGTTTTTGATGTATTTAGGCGTAATGCTGAAATCAACTTAGTTAGATCTGAAAATTACGTTTGGTAAGTAATACCGAGCGCTAATGGTCCATCAATCTTCTGTCACTGTTTAGGCTCTCTTGGTTACATGGTTAATACTGTAACGAAATACCTGTTCAATCCGCAATTGCCAACCAGTGCGATTGTTGCGAAAATATTTGCTCCTGAAAATATGGATGTAGCACATTTAAGATCATCAAAAACATTACTCAAATAATTTGCACTTGGAGAATCAATGACCAATAAATAACTCGAATATCAAGCAAGTGGCAACTCACCAGTCGATACGTCGGTCATCAACAACCAGTATACATTTATGTGGTCCCTGAATATACGATGCAGCACTGGTGGCTGCTTGCATCAGATTTTTTGTTAAACCTTGAACTTGCGAATACACTGATTGCTTGGACGGTGAAGTTGGAGCACTGAAAGAAAAAACTCAGCCATCTTTTTTAGCCTAATTTTAATACCCACGGGATTTTGGAAATAGTTACTAAAAAAATAAGGCCTCAACCACTTCCTATTGTCTTTTCCACACATGAAAAAAATCGAACTTATTCCTGATTATGTCTTCAACGAAATAATCTTTCTCAAGAAAATATTTTGGATATAGAGATCCTGGAATGATCATTTCAGGACTCTATCTTCGACGAGTGGATCACCAAGCTTCTCCACCCTTCTTCATATGAACTGTTCAATTAATCATTCTAATCATTAAGATCGTTGGCAATAGAAGTAATATAATAGTAATAATAGTAATTAATAATAGTAATTAAACTTGATAAGTTCCATTTTATTTCTATATTATTTAATTTTGATTGGATTACTACCGACATTTTCCTTTCTCTTAGTATCACTGTATATCGTATCTGGAATATTATAAATGTTTACAAATTTTAATGCGATAGACTGACATATATTCATTCTGAATCCTTCTTTCCTTCATTTATCATAAAAATTTCTTTGACCGTTCTTGTTGTGTCGATTTCAACAATAATTTCTATTAGTATTAATCATAGTGGGTTTTCTTTTCTTTATTAATTATCAAATCCTAACTGTCTAATTTAAAAGCTAACCTAATAGCACTAGAGACTTTGTTGGCAAGACCAGCTAGTGAGAAACTATTAGGAGGTCCATTTTGGTTCTGTAATGAAATGTTGGAGGAATGTTGCTGATATTGTGCTTGTTGTTGTTGTTGCTGTTGCTGTTGCTGCTGCTGTTGTTGTTGTTGTTGTTGTTGTTGTGGGCTACGTCCACCAAAAGATGAAGTGGACATCGATTTATTATCGTCTTCAATATCCTGGGAACTAAATCGACGTCTGAGAAAGTTGACACCACTAGATATGCTTTCCATAGTTTTATCTCCTCTTTTACTTACTACTGCAAATCGTTAAATATCTTCAATTGTCTGCTTCGGTTGCAACGTTGACTTCTCCTCTCATACAAATATTCGACAAAAACCTGAAATACAAAGAAGTTGTCTAAATTTTAGGAAAAAAGCATTAAATCGATAAATGAGTTGAATGATAGTAGAAGCAAAACAAAGAACTACTAAATTTTATGTTAAAATAAAGGTTGCCAAGAATTTATATCACAATGAAGGAAGCAGGAGGAGCACCAATAAGAAAAATATGTAACTTTGGATTGCTAATGGAAGAAGGTCTCTAATGGACCCATATCAAACAGCCAGTCATTCATGGTTGCCTCTTTTTTTCTTTGGAAGCTACAAAATGCCCAACAAATCTTTCCTCATTTTTAGAATGACTCTTCTCGTCTCTATGCTTTTCTGAATAAATTATAGATATGTCCATGCATTAAACATGTATTTTAACTCAACTTATTTCACTTATCCTTCACTGTCCAGAAGTTCCTTTTTACAATTATGATTACAATTTATTTCGTGGATTAATCATCGCAATCAATTTTTTAGAAAAATCCTGATATGCTTAAAAGTATGACAAATTTAAATTTAGAAACAATTTTGGATGTATTCATTTAGTCCTATGATTTTACAAAATTCCGAAGTACGTGTTTTTTTCCCCAAAAATTAAATCGTCTCAAGCAAATCACAAAAGAATTATATTTCCAACCGGTTAGTTATCCTGATGAAAATTTTTTAGGTCCAATTAGCAACCTATTTAACTTACTACACATTCTTCCGTTTTAGCACCTTAGTTATGAAAATTTATCTTATTTTTTAATTTGTGTATCCGAATACACTGCTATGTAAAATAAAACTCAATAGTTATCGCTGCTCATGAAATTTTGATCAACGAATTTTCTCTATTGCTATTATATTAGCATTCACTGATAACCTATTAAACATAGACTATTGACAGTGAAAAAAAAAGATCGAAATCTAATTTAATAATATGTGGAAGATATATCTCAATGGTCACACTCTCTAAGGTCAACTTGCAATAAAATTCTAATAACTGAGAGTTAAATGCTTATAATATTTTTTTGGTTCAATATTTTAATGGATTTAATGAAGGAAAATGGTAGCAAAGAGAAATGAAATTGATAGAAAACAAGATGAAATTGAATTCAATAAAACAAAGTATTAGGAAAACTAATACCAAAATGAAAACCTTTAGGATATTCAACACATAATAACTTTTATTGGTGGAGCAGTTGCAGTTAGAATAAAACAAAAACATAATTGTTTCGAAATGAATTCATGAAGCTAATTATTTAACAATTTATTCCATTCCATCCACTGATTAACTCGCTAACGAAAATTCTTTTTAATTTTATTTCAAATGCAAAAGAATATAATTAGTTGCAAAAAATTTTTTCTTAATTTTCGAAGCACTTTTAAAAAATTAAAAAGATTTTGAAATAATTAAATAGTAGTCTCATGTGATAAATTAAATATTGCGACAATATCTTTGATTTAAGATCTAATAGATAATTAATAATTGAGAGGATGGCTGAAATGAACGAAAAGTTTTCACTACATTTTAACTCTGAGGTAAA